GGTGCGACCCCAGCTGCTACGGCTGGTGCATGACCACCCACTCGGGGGCCACGATGGGGAACGACGTACTCGAGAGACCCTGCGTCGCCAGTATCTCTGGCCCAAATTGGCACAAGACGTGGCGGCCTGGGTACAGGGCTGCCGCGCCTGTCAGCAGTGCGGGCCGAAACCGGCACGATACCAGGTACCCCTAAGGCCGTTCTGCGTCAGCCGCACGAATCAGCTGGTCGGGATCGACCTACAGGGGCCATTCCCGCGATCCCATCGAGGCAACCGATATATCCTAGTCGCAGTAGAGTATTTCACCCGCTACCCCGTGGCAGTGGCCATCCCTGATAAAACTGCCTTGGTGGTGGCCCGGGCATTTGTGGAACACTACGTACTTAAGCACGGGATCCCAGAACGGGTCCTCACCGACCAGGGTAGCGAGTTCGAGGCCGAGTTGTTCCAGGCACTGTGCCGAGAGTTCGGAATCCAGAAGGACTGAACCACAGCGTACCACCCCCAGGCGAACGGTATGGTGGAGCGAATGAATCAGACCTTAGCGGGGAAACTCAAACGTATGGCGGCCGCAAATCAACGGGATTGGGATGAACACCTCCCCTACGCCCTTTTCGCCTACGCCACCACCGTACACACGTCGACGGGACAAACCCCGTTTTTAATGATGTTCGGCCGCGAGTCTCGTTTACCCGCAGATCTGCTATTCGGCGTCCCTTCCCCCCAGCCGGAGGAGGGAAGCCGCCCCGTGGAACACCTGTTGGAGACCCTGCGAGAAGCCCGAGGCCGAGCATACCCGCAAGGGGAAGCCGCGCATCGGCGGCAGGAACAGAGCACCCGACCCCGCATGGAACCCCCCTTATTCCTGACAGGCGCTAAGGTGTGGCTACACACCCCTCGCGTCGGGGCCGGGCAGGTGGGGAAACTGACGACCTACTGGCGGGGACCCTGGACCGTGGTGCGATAGATCTCCCCCTGGACGGTACTAATTTATGGCGGGGAGAGGGATCGAGAGACGGTGGTCAATGTCCGCCGCTTAAAACCATGGAAAGCGGCCCCGGCGAGAGAGAACCCCGTCACCCGAAGGCCCCAAAATCCCGGAGTACCCGCACCCCTCGTGTTGGGGGGCCTCGCAGACTACATGGGCCCCGCCGGACCCCCGAGACGCCCCGATCCAGTCCGGAGACGGCGCGGACGACGGCCACTAAACCCTTCCGCTGCTGAGTTTGTGCCCCAGCCCACAGGTGCCGGAGGACGGGGAGAGCCGCTGGAGTGGAGGAGGAGACCGCCGCAGGAGCTACAGAGGACGGAACCACCCGCCCCGAGGCCAGCCACCAGGTCCGGACGGATCCCCCGGACAGCGCAACGTTTCCTCGTGGGCGCGGCCCAAGCGAGGTGCTCCAGTCAACCCGGGACGGGGACTGGCACCTCGGGGGGCTATGTGATGCCGCCGCCACGAAGCCGTTCGGCAGGCGCCCAAATCCCCGACCTTGCCACCACCAAGCAACGGAGCCGACCCCGCGTCCCCCTCACCTCACCTCACATGAACACACCCGCACTCATTTCCCCCCCCCCCCATAGAGCTCCGAGGGGAGGTCGCCTGGCCGACCGGTTTTTATCCGAGAGACCCTTATCGGGATTAATTCTCACGGTTTCCGGCGATCAGGGAATTGGATGACCTCCCCCGTGCTACGTGGCACCGCGGCGCTGCGGCCGGCCTTAATATGGTGTGGTCGCGGCGTGGGGCATTCGGCCACCGCGGTTGAGGCGCATTTCCCCCCACACACACCCCCACGAGTCGACGGGGCAAGCAGGGGAGGCACGGGACAGCATGAATAGCGGGATCACAGGGGCTGTTGCGCATAGTCATGGAGGGTTGGGATAATTGCGCTTGAGCGCGCAGGCCCCATTGTTAGGGAGGGTAAGGGGTTAATTAGGATGTACGCCGCCAACGTCGCTCACTGATTAGCATATCAACAGCACCCGGGAACCGCCGTGCGCGGGCTCGGGGTGCGCGAGCCCATTGTTCAGCGCAGCATCCCCTTTTGAGGTAGGGAGGATAAATAGAGGGGCGGAGAGGGGAAATGGCGCTCTTCTCTCCAGCGCCAGGGAACCAGACGCAGCTCCAGCCAGCGACCCGGACGTCCGTGCGACGCACCGAGGTACGCTGTTAGCACAAGGATCAGCGGACCGCCGTGGACACTTGACGGTGAGTGGGGAGGTGAAGTAGGATAATAGCCGATGAATAGGGAATAGGTACAGGTTTAGTGGGATAGGCCAGCCTCGTCGACTCACTGATTTAACATTAATTACCAGGAAGCGGATAATAAATCATTAATAGCGAAGCGTGGTCTCGCGTGATCTTGTCGTGCAGAGTGTCGCGTGGGGAGCTGCGTGTGTGTGCGTGCGTCCACCCCGGGTGCGATACAGGTGCGCGATCATAACGTGAGTAGTCAGGGGTGAGTGTAGTGCTGCGGCTCGCCTCGGGGGAGCGCTGCGCAGAGCGGCGCGAGAGTGGGTGTCGCGTGTGTTCACCCCGTGTGTGATACAGGTGCGCGATCATAACGTGAGTTGAGTTGGAGTGCGCGGAGCGGCGTGTGTGTGGGAGTGCGCATACGTTCGTTACGTGTTGGATACGGATGCGCATTGGTAACGTGCCGCACAGGGCTATAGACGGGCACACGCTCGCAGTGTGCGAGAGCTGTACATAGCGGTGTAAAGAGGGGGAGTGTGGCGTTCGATTGATGATGCTGTGCGCACGTTTGCTCGCAGCGTGGGAGCGCGGCGCGAGGCTGTAACAGTAGGGGCGTCGCGTTCGAATGCCGGCGAAACTGTAGCGGGTAATAGGGAGGTGGGGTAACGTAAACGGAATAGGGGATGCAGGCGGGAGGGACCCCGGGGGCCGACGGCCCCCACACAGGCACCCCTGGCTACTCCAGTAACATTAAACAAAATATGCACCGTCTGCTTAACAGTGGATGTAAAACATACTATTGTCATTCAAAACGCATAGGTCATTGCATGTTGGGGTCATGGTCAATATTTGGATAATTCCAAACATTATCCGGAAATTACACAACGGAGATAACACATCAATTATCGCCCGCTAATGACAGACTCATGCCCACATGCAGGCTCGAGCAGGGTCACCTTATGCCACACATAGGCAGCTGCCACTTGGGGGTGCTCTTCGAGTGTTTGTGATGATATATGAAACAAAACCGAGTTGCTGAAGCAATTAAGCAAGAACCAAATAAATGCAAATATTAATATGACAGTGGAATGAATGCTTATATGCCTCTTCCCAAATTAATGTAGTGTCGTGTAGAATCACTCAGTCGGACACGTTCCAAGTCACCTGCTTACACTATATTACTCTCTCTCGTACCAGTTATAGGCACTCCTATCTGTCTATACGGTCACTTTGTTTACCAACTTCCCCTATCTACTTTACACCTCGCTGACCTGCCAGCAGCAGCTCTTCCTCTCAGCAGCTCCACACACACAGCAGCTCACACAGCTTGCACACAGTCGTGCTCACAGACCTTGAACACAGCAGAGCTCACACAGAGGCATCGCTCTCACAGAAGCTTCGCTCAGATCTTGGACGCAGCTATTCTCCCTCTGCGCCGCTGGCCTCGCATACGTTTCCTCAGACCCACTCACTCGTCTGATCCGGGCGGGGGGGATCAACCATCACCCGCCCGTCGATTCGTGAGGGTTGAGGCTGTCCCAAGCTTGAGCGGCAGCGGCGAGATGTCTTCACTTTAGTTCCAGAACCCGAATCCCGCTCCGCCCTCACACACCCCCTTATATCCCTCCTCCCAATTATCCAGCTGCTCCCTTGTGTCTCTTTAGGGCCCGACAGGCTGGCACCTGTCAGGCCATCAATCACTCCTTACAGCATGTCTCCAAGGCGACACCTCTGGTGTCAGTGTAGTATAATAACCTACGGCGGGAGACCACTTGACGGGTAGCACACTTTATTATAACTTGTTCTTTCCACAATAACACGTGTGGTCACTACAGCTCACTGTTCCTGCCACAATAACACGTGGTCACTACAGCTCACTGTTCCTGCCACACTAACACGTGTAGTCACTACAGCTCACTGTTCCTGCCACACTAACACGTGTGGTCACTACAGCTCACTGTTCCCCCGTTCCACCCGGCTACACACACACGGGCTCTCCAGCCCCGTAGCTTCCAGGGGAACCTACAGACCCACCCCAGCTTGGGTATGGGTCACGACCACTGGGTCCCGTGGCCCGGCCCTCACACGGACGTCCAGCCCCGGGTCCCAAGGTCCCGCCTCTGAGCCACACAGAGTCCCGGTCCTTACAAGGACTGGCGGGACTAGGGGTCTCAGGGCCCTATCTCCTCCTCCTCCGTCTTCCGTCTTCACTGGTCACCAACTCCCCGAGCGCCCGCGCGCACCGCCTTATATAGCCCTCCGCTCCCGAGGAGACGGAGACTATGCGGACCGCGATGTGAGCACCCACCTTAGTCGACCAATCACGACGCGCTGCCGTACGATCCGTTTCCCCCCAGCACGTGTTACCACCACACAACCAATCACGCCGCGCTGCCACACGATCACTCCCTGTCAGCGCGCGTCACCAACATACAGCCAATCACCACCACATAACCCATGACCCCGCGCTGGCCTATGATCCCTCACCGTCAGCGCGCGTCACCGACACACAGCCAATCACCACGCGCTGCCACACTATCCCTGCCAGCGCGTATCACCACTACATCAGCGTATAACCCCGGACCGACCCGTCTGCTCTCCCGATAAAGAGGTGGCGGTTTGCAAATGCAACCTTACTTTGCACACGCACACCTGCCTGTTCTCGGTTGCCCTCGGGCAGCAGTGCGCACCACGTATTTTACCACACTACATCCCCCCCCCCCCCCCCCCCCACGAACAAAAACGCAGCCATCCTGGCTGTAATATACATCCCTTGTGCGCACGCAACGTGACAACCCATAAACACAACTCTATAGTGACCAGTGACCGACCCCTAACTACAAGACAATCATAAGCAGTGATCATGAAAATAAACAAGAACAAGGGAATGGGGAATTAACGAAAAACAACGCGTCGCGAATGGGTATGTGCAGCAGGCCCATCCCCGCAGGTCGAGACGGGTCTGCTTGAGTGTGATGAGTGTCCGATGAGGGAGTCCACAAGGCTCCGTCCGTGGTCTTTAGATCATCCAGCCCTGCAGGCAGTACAGAACATTCCTCCTCACGGCCTGTTACTTTAGGCTTGCCGGTTGGCGTACCAGACACATCAGACACCGGCCGGCAGGGATGTGGGGATGAATCGACCGGACCGGACAGAACGTAAGTTTTTAACCGTAAAGGATGCACAAACCAGCGCCGGGCCTGTCTGCGGGCCGAGTTGACCCGAGCGGCTTCACGGCCCAACCGTAGCTGCTCCAGTGTTTTCAATATGGGGTCAAGCACTGCTGAACCTTTCCGCAGGGGGCTCAGTCCCAACTCAACTTGCACAAGGGGTTCGGGTTCCCTCCCATACATCAAATAAAACGGTGAGAAACCTGTCGAGGCATGCGGAGCAAGTCTGTATGCAGCAAGGACCCCCGGGAAGTGCAGATCCCAATCCGCCTGTCCGCCAGTCACTTGCTGGCATAGCGGTGAGGGTTCTATGCAACCGCTCAACCATCCCGTCAGTCTGCAGATGATACAGTGAGGTGCGTATTTTCCGCCTGCCCAAAGACTCACACATCCTGGAGCAATTTGGAGGAGAAATTAATACCCTGATCCGTGAGCAGTTGCTCCGGGGCCCCCTTATCCAGGACATAGCCATTCACAAAGGCGTCGGCTATAGACGCAGTTGACTGGTCAACCAAGGGCCAGGCCATAGGCCAATGAGTCAAATATTCGACCCCCACGAGGAGGTACTTGTGCCATCTCTGGGAGACCGGGAAGGGACCCAAATTGTCCAGGGCCACAAATTCATTCAGCCATGACACAACAATGGACTGTGACGGAATCTGCGGTCGCGTGGCAGGAGATTTCCGATGCGCACAATCGACACAACCTCTAATCAGGAGGACATCACTCTACATCCCGGGCCTGTAAAAGTCCTTTTTCAACGTCGCCAATGTTTTATGCACACCCAAATGCATGAACTTTTCGTTGACGGCCTTCGAAAATTAACCCCTAAGTGTCAGCGCTGGCGACCAGCGGACGAGCTGCGAGCGATATCGGGCACCGCCAAAGGCAATCATCGTGCAGACTCAACAATCATCCAGCAGTGGAGAAGCTTGGAGCTGCTATCAAGAGAGAGCGCCGTGTGTATGACACGCCCGCACACACACACACACACGACTCATCGCCCAGGAGGCAAGCGAACAGAGGTATTCTCCGTACAAGGAAAGCCCCACCTCGGCGCCGGCTTCACTCAAAGAGTTGAGCACGAAGACAATACACCCACACACACAACACACATATCGGGAACTAATAAGATTGCTCCAAAAGTGATCTTTGTTTCGAAAAAGGCCATCCTAAGGTGGTGCGTTAACTATTAGCTGATCGTGGAAAACATTGTCTGGTCCATTGAGCTGCTTGAATAAGGTCGTATAGAAGTATTTTAGTCATTCGGTTCGTTAATTGCATAGCTTTAGCAATACATTAATTGACGTTAAACATTTATAAGCGATGTTATGAATCTACACACTCACAGGAATACTATTGTGTTGAGATTTATTTCTTTTGATCACGGAATCTTGCCCGCGGATTCAAGCCCATTAACCAATTGATAAGCATTTATTAGGCAAACAGGCACACTGACACACATTATTGTTCCAGGGCATTTCGATCAATTGCATAATCATACCAATTAATTCATTGAAAACTACTTTGGCCTTGGGCACATGTTTCTTTACTACTGTTCGTATGAATATTGTAACAGATTCTTAAGGACTTTTTTCCTATCGGCGTGTATGGTCGCTTTACTCTGAGCAATTAGCATATTGTTCTGTTATCCAGTTAATAAACATAACCATTGAGGGTTACTTGTATGGATCAATGAGTAGAACATTTCCAGGAATACTGGGTTGACAATTCCTAGCGTAAGAGTTAGCATATTACAGTGTTTTGTTTTTAGATATTAAAGTTGCTTAACGCAGAAGAGTCTGAGTGTCCCTTCCTAAGTTCATTCGTAATAATCATAATTATAAGAACTGTATCCTGCGGTGAGATCTGAATTTTGAGACCTGACATAAACACACTAAAACATAATCGGTAAATGATCAAGCGAGAAAGACTGTATTATATTCTTTAGGTCTTTCGGTAAAGTCACGTTGATAGGTTCAAAGAAAATAACAAAAACCTACCTACGTGACTTTACCGAAAGGTCCAAAGAATATGAATCCAGCTTTAAGTCAATGTATTAGCACGATTGGTAATACACCCTGAGACAACGAAGCAGAGCCTAATTCGCATAATTACATACACTTGCATAACTTCATACAATTACACCTTTATATTATTATCACGATTGGTAATACCCCGAGATATAGCATAAATACATAATTAGCATCATTTCAAAACATTGCGCATTTTCAGTTATCATTTAATTTTCATTCTTTTTCAAGACCTAATATATACAACACTTGGGAGCTTATTGGCTCTTGCTCATGGTTAATCATCTACCCAACCCACAGATCCACAAATACTGGTCGCTCTTACTCTGCAGGTTAAACCCAGGAATTGAGTGTTCGACTTCACGTTCTTTTCATTAAAGGCCTGTGACAGAGGTGAATCTATTGGAGCTTCATTGTCCCAAGCTTACACATCTACCGGGTCTCCATTTGACTTTGTATTGTCTAAGAAGTCGACCCACACCTCTACTTCCACAAACTGCTGGGAGTTGCCTCCCTCTGCCTCACAGTCAGAAATCTCCTCCTACTTCACGTTGCCACCCTCGATGTGAAGGTCCAATTTCGGAGTTGAATCTTCATCTTCACAGTTTACCATCACTTCTCTCTTCACCATCACTTCACATTTCATCGTCATTTCTTCGCTCTTGATCACTACTTCACATTTCACCTTCGCCTCTTCACATTTCACCTTGATACCTTCAAAAGTGTCCAAGCTGGGCTTTAGTTCTGGTTTCATGAGGGATGGGCTGATTGCAGCACTTTGACTTTCACAAGCCGATTTCAGACTCCACTCCTTGGGGATCTTCTGATGATTGTGTGTCCTCTGGTGTGTTTTAAGAATGGATGACTGAGCAAACGCCTTCCCGCAGAGAGTGCACGTGAAGAGCTTCTCTCCCGTGTGTGTTCTCTGGTGGCAATTAAGACCTGATGGCCATGCAAATGCCTTCTCACAGACAGTGCACTTGAAAGGTTTCTCTTTTGTGTGTGTTCTCTGGTGTTGTTTAAGATGTGATAACACTGTAAACGCCTTCCCGCACAGACTGCACTTGAAGGGTTTCTCTCCCGTGTGTGTTCTCTGGTGTGTTTTAAGATTTGATAAGCCTGAAAACGCTTTCCCGCACAAAGTGCACCTGAAGGGTTTCTCTCCTGTGTGTGTTCTCTGGTGTGATACAAGATTAGATGACTGTGAAAACGCCTTCCCACACACACTGCACTTGAAGGGTTTCTCTCCCGTGTGTGTTCTCTGGTGTATTTGAAGATGTGGTGATTGTGCAAACGCCTTCCCGCACAGAGTACACCTAAAGAGTTTCTCTCCTTTGTGTGTTCTCTCGTGGTGATGAAGACCTGATGACCATGCAAATGCCTTGTCACACAAAGTGCACTTGAAGGGTTTCTCTCCTGTGTGAGTTCTTTGGTGCTGTGTCAAATGTCCAGTTTGATCCGTGCTGTATGCACAATGGTCGCATTGTTGCCTTTTTGTACCAAGCTGCGCTGAGCGCCTTTGCTCCATCAGACCAATTCTGCAGAGGAAGCGTCAGCTGCAGACAGAAAAAAGAGAATATCCACACCATCTACATCAGTATCGAGGCACAGAGGAATAATTATATACACAGTTACACATGACTTACACATCTATACTTATTGACATGTTCATGATATAGTGAAACATATTTCCAAATTCATCACACGGGCTGTTATGACAAACAATGAGAGGGCAAATGGTCATAAATATGCCTGTAAGCCCAAGTATCTTCAAAATGAATGTTAACCCAAAACTCCAAGCACACAATTTCGGTTGTCTGGCTAAAAAATTAATATTTATAAAAGCTAAATTCAGCTAACAAAGCTTAAATTAATGTTCAATCACAACTTAATCACAACTTCAAGGTGTGAAGCGAGGCTCAGATTTCCATGAATGCTGGGATGAACAGATCTAACTTCAGCTGCATATGTGCTGTGTTAATTTCCTGTTTCCATTCTTATAAAAAGTTCCAGAGGAAAACAAAAATAAACTATTATTTTGATTTAACCTCCGTGTTCAAAAGAGTTAATATACTTTACTGCAAATACAAACTTTACACCGTCACATACTGGCATGGTAAAAAGGTGGTGGTGTGTCCAGAACCATGCCTGCCCACCTTCATCTGCTCAATATTAATGCTTCCTCACTTCACCAAGTAATTAATTGAGGATCAATCAACACAGACGAGACCCACAAGAAGTTAAGTTTTCACTTATCAATCACGTTTGTTGTCGGAGATAATCAAACTCTAATTATTGAGTTCATAATACAATGATAATACGATGTAAAACATATCTTGTTCTTGGGTACAAAGTGTTATTTTTCAATTTATTTTGCCTAAAAAGTATAGAAAATCGCTATTATCCCCCACAAGCGTTGCTTTTGTGACCAGGACTTTATGTGAAAGAAAAGACACAAATTCGCCCATTTTATCATTGAAAATAGGCACGTTTCAAAATATCACTGTCCTAGTCAGAAAAGCAAAGTTTGTGGGGAATAGCATTTTCTGTACTTTTGAGGCATAGGCAATTAGGAAATAACTACCCAGGAACAAAAATGTTTTTTTGTTACACAGTGTAATAACTACGCCATCGCTCACCACATAAATCAACTCTTACAGATGTAGTGATATCGCGGGATGTCACTGTGTAGTGCCGGCCCTAGAGAAACATGGCATGCGGTGTAACGACATCGCGGATACCACTATGATGGGTGTACTACCGGCCCTAAAGGGGCACGGTGAGCGCTGACTGATAGCGCAGGATGGCACCATGCTTGGCGTGCAGTGCCGGCACTACAGGATAGGGTGTGTGAGTACCGGCCGTAGGAATGAGGTTACGAAAGGCAATCTGGATGACCCGAGAGGACACGTGACAAGTCCACAAAGGGGCCTAAAGTAGGGGCTAGGGGTGGTCACATGGTCGGGGTCCAGATCCTGCTTGAGGATTCTGGAAGGTGGTCGTGGCCAAGGGCGGAGCCAGCCACACCGCAGAGAATATAAGCCGGGTCCCCTAGAGGGGCCGGCGTTGTTGTTCAACCCGAAGAAACCTTCGTCTTCGTTCCACCAAGTCTCCAACACGTGGAACTGGACCCATGCTGTAGTCCCGGTCCGTCGTAGCTCGTTGTGTTGTAATTAGTGTAGTTAGCCTGGTGGTCACCACCATAGGTTGTTTTTCTGTTAAGGGGCAGTTACCCCGTGTGTTGGTGTTAAATAAATGTGTTGCCTCCAAGTGTACGTCTGCGACTCAGTTGAACTCACTACACATACATTTCACATGAATGCCATGTAAGTGTGGATCACTTGTCAGGAGGTCATGGGAATGATCCATGTGTCAAGGGATGGAGTGACTGAGATGATTAACAGACGCACCAGCTGTGCTTCCCAGTCTTGCTGCATTTTAGGCACCTAGCGTTCCACCCATTCATTTAAGCGTTGCTACTCTGACCTCACTGTTGTTGTAGAGAAAATATCTCTACCTGCCCTGCAGCATATATCACGGGCCTCCTATACAGAGGCCGACCTTGACACTCCTGGTACCAGTCATCAGCAGGTCTGATCACCTCCACATCCTCCAATCTCTTCTCTAGACAATGCCATACCTTAAATTTGGAGCTTTCGTGACTGCAGGAATTACTTTTTGGTTCTTTCGGTAAAGTCACGTATAAAGATAAAATAATAAATTAAATAATAGCATACGACGTTTCGATTGCAACACCAGCAATCATCATCAGGTATAAATGAAATAGTAACAAAAATCTAACCAGAAAACTATAGACAGACATATAAGCAGACATATCACCAAGATATGTATCTCAGACATATAAGCAGACAGATATCACCAAGATATGTATCTTGGTGATATCTGTCTGCTTATATGTCTGTCTATAGTTTTCTGGTTAGATTTTTGTTGCTATTTCATTTATACCTGATGATGCTTGCTTGTGTTGCAATCGAAACGTCGTATGCTATTATTTAATTTATTATTTTATCTTTATACGTGACTTTACCGAAAGAACCAAAGAGTAATGCCATACCTAATTAGCCCGTAACATCTGGACTAACAGAAGATGCTTGAGCATGCTGTTTATGTGGGATTCATGACCCAACCAATGCAGCTCGGCCTGCCAAAGAGACTCATTGATTATATTCTGGACTGATATTTTAAGGATCTGCAAGGTTCTAATACAATCTTGTTTGGTTCAATAGAGGGAATTATAGGCAGGCCAGCCTTAATTATAAGCCAGAACAGACGGTCCTTTAAATAAGATAATATTGTGCATCCACAGAGAAAGGAGTAATATCTGTGGCCAAGAAGACTCACAGCTTTGTTCGTTCATTCATTTCTAAATCCTCTCGTCTTGGTTGAGGGTTGTGGCGGCAGCACATTGAGTAGGGCAGTCCAGACCTTCCCTTTCCCTGGCGACAGACTCGAGCTCTTCCTGGGGAATTCCCAGGCGTTCCCAAGCCAGTCAAGCGACATATTCCCACCAGCATGTCCAAGGGCCAGGCCCCGATGACTTCCCCCAGTGGGACGTGCCCGGTAGAGTTCCAGGGGCAGTCTATTGGGGGGCCTCCTCACAGATATTCTATATTGATATCACTCATGAAACGAGGCCTGGTGGCTAGGTGACTCATGTAATCCATTTGTGCCCAGCCTGGAATGGCTACGTGGCACCGTCCTGTGCGTCCACCATCCACAGTACGAAGAGAGGCGGGTGCGATGCTAGTAGACTAGACCTTGGCGATGGACACTCACAGCTTTGTAGGGAGGAAAAGTCCAGGAAGTGTCCACACAGTGTTACACAGTCTAATGAAAGAATGCTGCTAGACAAATTTAAAGTGAGACTTTGGCTGCCAAACCAGAGCTGGTCGTGAACACATTAACCAGGTATGGGAGCTCCTCCACCACTTGTAGAACAGCCTGATTACTCATGGAGAGTTGAGCAGGTATAGTGTTGTATGAAATCAAATTCTCAGGCAGGTGATGTTTTGTTGAGGAACATATGATAAGAACCATTTCATGATGGAATTATCCAGGCACAGAACAAGATTCTCTAACCCCATCTCATTGAGTAGCCATGACCAGATCATCAGCATATATAACATGGTTGACCAGGGAACGATCCCTTAACTATAACCAGGCATCGATGCGCGTATAATTTTAACCGTAACAAATGCAATTTATTTCTATGGCCATTGAGAGCTTCTCAAACGACATAATTATTGAAGATGCTCTGTAATGTAATGCATGGGGCCAGAGTGAATTTCTGTCACAAGCCAAGTTGAACAGGAAATGGCTCCAACTCCTGGTCACGCAGCTTTAGACGGGCTTGCCCAAAATCATAAAAACCATCAAAGAATGTGAGCAGAGGCAGAGACATAAAAAACAAAGAACCCAAAGCCCCAAGCCTCTATATGGTACTATATGCCTAATTACATCAATAAAGCAGAGATATAGTTTCTGCTGAAAATCCGTAATCCTCAGCCCCTTGAATATCAGAGGTTACAATCTGGGAAAGTGCCTCGCAAAGCCAAAAGTGCGATATTCAATACTTAAGCCTTACCTAAATAATGGCATGAGGTAAAAGTAAAATAAAAATAACTAAACAATTGAAATGAACATTGAGAAACCATACACAAAAACATTTGCAAGACAAAATGGAAACAATCTATATAAATAAAGCAAACTTTGTGCATGTGAACCAAATTGTGCCAACACTACCAGATGGCAAAACATCCAACATTGTCTATGCTGAAGCTCTTCAAGGGCAATGTATTTAAAAGCTGTCCTCATTATGAAACAAACAAGCCCTGCAATTGTATAACACAACCACAAAACCGTGACAATATACACACATTTACAGACTTCATTGGCAGAATTCAATAATTGTAATAAAGCCAGCATGTTTGATTACTGAGACCTGCGCTAAGCCGGTTAACTTAGTTATTGGAAAAATACTATACTTCCGATTAAGTTTGTGCATGTGCAGTAGTACAACGGTTAGCGTGCTGCGCTATGAACCCAGTGAGCCTATTTATATTCCCACAGAGCCAAAAACAACATTTGGCCGTCACCTGATGAAGCTGGTTGTAATTACTGTAAAAAGTTGTACTCAGATGGTAAATGTTGTGGCTTGGCTCTCCAACACACCTATATGCTGTACTAGTACACTACACTATTATACACTACACTATACACTACACTACTATATACTACACTATACATTACTATATACTACACTATACACTACACTACACACTAGTGCTGTGCGAGTGACGCATTGGACACGTTCTGTTTACGTGACAAGCCCCTTACTAATTGGCTGTCCGGTGGTGGCTGGGTTAACGACACATCGATTTATTTACGCGATCTCACACAAATAAACCTGTATTATGGCTGTATATTTGGAGTTTGCGTGTCCCTCTCTCTCCGTGGTCGCGTGGATTTTCCTCCGGATCCTGCGGTTTTCCCTGCACATTTAGAGTCAACATCACCACGCGTTTAGAGTATTTGACCGATAAACATTCCACACGTTGATAAGCCCACTGCGTTGTGGGCAGGTCGCTTCTGAAAACGAGCGGTGTAGCTCAAGTGGGCTATGCCTGGTAAAATAAAAAAACGTAGAAATATTTAAAGTAAAAAAAAGTTTCAAAGTAGTGAGCCAGGTGAAGACAAATTAAACTTAAGCTGAGAATTAAAGCAAATGCAATCAGGCGAGGGCAGGAGGCAAGGCCCCGCATGGCTAGGCCCTGCGTTGTAATGTTCCAACCTGGACATCGATTCCATACTCGCTGCTACTCAATTGATATCCATACGAGAGGGAGAAGGAGCGAGGCTCTACCTAGGTTCACAACAACAACCACAACAATAACCACAACCACCACGATGTAATCTTCTCACCACGGATCTCCGTGCGCGAACGTGCGCGGAGCAGAAGCTTCCTGGTATGCCGTGACGTCATGCGGCAGGAGGTGACATGACGTCACTTGCGGGGTCCACACAATCCCCTCCCCTATCGAGCAGCAGTGTAACTTGAATAAATTATAATTTATCTTCTTGGTTCTTTCGGTAAAGTCACGTAGAAGGGAAGTAATAAAATAATAAAAATAAAACATACTAAAATAAGTCTCACGACGTTTATTTTATTACTTCCCTTCTACGTGACTTTACCGAAAGAACCAAGAAGATGAATCCCTGCAGTCACGAAAGCTTTAAATCGAAAAATTATAATTTGTTTTACCATTTTATCTGGCAACAAAACTGACACCTTTTTTACAAGGAGTCATGTTTGCATAGACCACAATACCTGCAGTCGTAATACAAACGAAAAATATAACTCTGATAATGTATGCACTGTCCTTGAAGTTGATTGGTCCACACCCAAGACAGCTTTCCTTAAGAGCCTAGTCTCACATGGTGTTGGACCAGATCAGTTATGTTGACAGCTAAAAGGGGTAAAAAAAAATTATCATATTTTTTCCTCTGGCAATTGAGGTTACAATGGTGAATAAATTATATTTCGATTTAAAGCTTTCGTGACTGCAGGGCTTCATATTCTTGGTTCTTTCGGTAAAATCGACAGACCTGGTCTTCACCTGGTGACGGCTGCTTGCGTTGTGGCCGAAACGTGAGAATTATTTTATAGTTTTATTTTTATTTTATTATTTCCATTCTACGTGACTTTACCGAAAGAACCAATATGAATAAATTATGATAATGTGCCGGGCTCATTAACACTTAGTGACAAATGGCGGTTGTTTTTGTTACTGTGTGTGTACAGGCTGTTTGTATACTGTGCGGGTACACTGTGTACGCTCTGTGTAGACATGGTGTGTGTACACTGTGTGGGTGGTCCGAATCAGTCGGGCGGCATTATCATTTCATCGGCTGCGCAATGCTGTGTGGAAGCTACCTGGTCTGTCACTCCGCATGAAGCTTCGGTTCTTCTCGGCCACAGTAATGCCCTCCCTTCTGTAGCCATGTAAAACGTGGACCCCTCTAAATTGAACATCTGCTCCGGTTAGAAACATTCAGGCTGTCATGCCTACACTCAGATTAAGGGAAGCCCAGTGGTAGCACATTCTCTATTTATTACAGAGGTTCAAGGCTCAAATCCGACAGGCACCCCTGGCTACTCCAGTAACATTAAACCAAATATGCACCGTCTGCTTAACAGTGGATGTAAAACATACTATTGTCATTCAAAACGCATAGGTCATTGCATGTTGGGGTCATGGTCAATATTTGGATAATTCCAAACATTATCCAGAAATTACATAATGGAGATTACACATCGATCATCACTCCCTACTGACAGACTCATGCCCACATGCAGGCTCAAGCAGGGTCACCTTATCACACAGAGGCAGCTGCCACTTGAAGGTGCTCTTCGAGTGTCTGTGATGAGACATGAAACAACCTGAGTTGCTAAGGCAATAAAGCAAGCACCATATCAATGCAAATATAAATATAACAGTGGAATACTTGGGAGCATATTGTCTCTTGATCCTGATTATTCATCTACCCAACCCACAGGTCAACAAATACTCGCCGCTCTTATTCTGCAGGCTGAACCCAGGAATTGAGTGTTCGACTTCACGTTCATTTTCATTAAAGGCCTGTGACAAAGGTGAATCTATTGGAGCTTCATTAAGCTTACACATCTACCGGGTCTCCATTTGACTTTGCATTGTCTAAGAAGTCCACCCACACCTCCACTTCCACAAACTGTTGGGAGGTGCCTCGCTCTGACTCACAGTCAGAATTCTCCTCCTGCTTCACGTTGCCCCCATCGATGTGAAGGTCCGATTTTGGAGTTGAATCTTCATCTTCACAGTTTACTGTCACTTTTTCGCTCTTCACCATCACTTTTTCACATTTCACCTTCACTTCTTCGCTCATCACTTCTTCACATTTCACCTTCGCCTCTTCACATTTCACCTTGATACCTTTAAAAGTGTCCATGCTGGGATTTAGTTCTGGTTTCATGAGGGATGGGCTCATTGCAGCACTTTGACTTTCACAAGCCGATTTCAGACTCCACTCCTTGGGGATCTTCTGATGATTGTATGTCCTCTGGTGTCTGTTAAGATTTGATAAACCTGCAAATGCTTTCCCGCACACAGTGCACCTGAAGGGTTTCTCTCCCGTGTGTGTTCTCTGGTGGCAATTAAGACCTGATGACCATGCAAATGACTTCTCACAGACAGTGCACTTGAAAGGTTTCTCTTTTGTGTGTGTTATCTGGTGTTGTTTAAGATGTGATGACACTGCAAACGCCTTCCCGCACAGACTGCACTTGAAGGGTTTCTCTCCCGTGTGTGTTCTCTGGTGCAATACAAGACCAGATGACTGTGAAAACACCTTCCCGCACAGACTGCACTTGAAGGGTTTCTCTCCTGTGTGTGTTCTCCGGTGTCTTTTAAGAGCAGATGAATTTGAAAATGCCTTCCCACACACACTGCACTTGAAGGGTTTCTCTCCCGTGTGTGTTCTCTGGTGTAGTTTAAGATGTGATGACTCGGCAAACGCCTTCCCGCACAGAGTGCACCTGAAGGGTTTCTCTCCTGTGTGAGTTCTCTGGTGCTGTGTGAAATGTCCAGGACGATCCGTGCTGTATGCACACTGGTCGCATTGTTGCATTTTTGTACCAAACTGCGCTGAGTGCCTTTGCTCCATCAGACCAATTCTGCAGAGGAAGCGTCAGAGGAAACGTCAGCTGCAGACAGAAAAAAGAGAATATCCACACCATCTACGTAAGTATCGAGGCACATATGACTTACACGTCTACACTTATTAATATTCCCAAATTCATCACACGGGCTGTTATGACAAACAATGAGGGCAAATAGTCATAAATATGCCTCGAAGCCCTATGTTAACCCAAAACTCGAAGCATACAATTTCGGTTGTCTGACTAGAAAATGAATATTTATGAAAGCTAAATTCAGCTAACAAAGCAAAGGGTGTTGAAAATAATACTGTTTGTATTATGCATAAATTAATGTTCAAACGAAACTTAGAGGTGTGAAGCCAGGCTCAGATTTTCTTGAATGCTGGGATGAACAGATCTAACTTCAGCTGCATATGTGTCGTGTTCATTTTCGTAAAAAGTTCCAAAGAAAAACAAAAATAAACTATTGTTTTGATTTAACCTCCGTGTTCAATAGAGTTAATATACTTTACTGCAAATACAAACTTGACACTGTTACACACTGGCATGGTAAAAAGGTGGTGGTGTGTCCAGAACCATGCCTGGCCACCTTCATCTGCTCAATATGAATGCTTCTCTCACTTCACCAAGTAATTAATTGAAGATCAATCAACATAGCCGAGACCCACAAGAAGTTAAGTTTTCACTTATCAATCACGTTTGTTGTCGGAGATAATCAAACTCAAATTATTGAATTCATAATACAGTAATAATACTATGTAACACAATTTTTGTTCCTGTGTACAAAGTGTTATTTTTTAATTGCTTATGCCTAAAAAGTATACAAAATCGCTATTATTCCCCACAAACTTTGCTTTTGTGACCAGGACTTTATGTGAACGAAAAGACACAAATTAGCCCGTTTTCTCATTGAAAATAGGTAAATTTCAAAATATCACTGTCCTGATCAAAAAAGCAAAGTTTGTGGGGAATAATCTGTACTTTTGAGGAATAGGCAATGAGGAAATAACACTACCCAGGAACAAAAATGTTTTTTTGTTACACAGTGTAATAACTGCGCCACCGCTCCCCACAGATAAACTCTTACAGATCTAGTGACATCGCGGGATGTCACTGTGTCGTGCTGGCCCTCGAGAGGCACGGCGTGCGGTGTAACGACATCGCGGATACCACTATGGTGGGTGTCGTACCAGCCCTAGAGCGCTGATTGATAGCGCAGGATGGCACCACGCTTGGCATGCAGTGCTGGCCCTACAGGATAGGGTGTGGGAGTGACGGCCGTAGGAATGAGGTTACTAAAGGCCATGGCACTCTGGTTGACCCGAGAGGACACGTGACCAGTTAAGTCTACGAAGGGGCCCCAAGTGGGGGCTAGGGGTGGTCCCGTGGTCGGGGTCCAGATCCTGCTCGAGGATTCTGGAAAGTGGTCGTGGCCAAGGGAGGGAGCCAGCCAAACCGCAGAGAATATAAGCCGGGTCCCCCAGAGGAACCGGCGTTGTTGTTCAACCTTAAGAAACCTTCGTCTACATCTAGGGTCTACGTTCCACTGAGTCTCCAACAAGTGGAACTGGACCCGAAACAAACAACCAAAAGCCCCAAGCCTCTTTATGATACTATAGGCATTAATTATATAAAAATGCAGAAATCGAGTTTCCGCTAAAAATCCGTACTCCTCTTCTGTACTCGATCGACAGAAAATAAATTACCTTCTTGGAAATTGCTGAGCGAAAGCTAAAAGTGCGATATTCAATACTTAAGCCTGGCTTCACACCTCTAAGTTTCGTTTGAACATTAATTTATGCATAATACAAACAGTATTATTTTCAACACCCTTTGCTTTGTTAGCTGAATTTAGCTTTCATAAATATTCATTTTCTAATCAGACAACCGAAATTGTATGCTTCGAGTTTTGGGTTAACATAGGGCTTCGAGGCATATTTATCGTTTTTTATTATTATTTTATTATTTCCCTTCTACGTGACTTTACCGAAAGAACCAAGAATAAGAATATAAAATTCACATCACAATCGAAACAAGTACTGTAGTGCATTCCAAATCAACTAAAAACTAAACAATTGAAATAAACATTCAGAAACCGTAAACAAAAAAAAATTGAAGACGAAAAATAGTATGAAGCTAATTAAATAAAGCAGACTTTGCGCATGTAAATTTTTTGTGAACCAAATTGTGCCAACACCATTAAACCTACACAGCGTAAACATTCAATGAGTACTCACAGGTGAGTTAGTGTGTTTGTCACACTATTTTTAGCTTACCTGCTCAACTTCAAACCTCAGACACCTGCACACTCCAACCCCCCACCATTCCTCCCCCCCCCCCTCCATTTCTATCACCATGGGTTAGCCACACACGCAAACACATTATGACATTTCATATACTACAATTCCAAGCACTCATCATAACATAAGTGTCTGCACTGCAATATTTGTTGTCATATTTACCATGTTATCCTTCCCTATTATCAGACCTGCGCTTTTGCTGCCAAATTCATCCACTTCCAGCTCCTTACTGTCCTCTATGCACATGCACGGCTCACCTCTAACACACACTGCAATATTTATTTTAAAAAGACATGTACGATTCTAAAATATCTACATCTATGTGCCAGGACTACCGACCTCCTCCTACACAATATAGACGCTATGCAACAGCTACGACAAAATAAATCAAGTCTAGATCGCCTGGTAAGGAATAAAAAGCACGCACACACACATTCAACTTATTTTGTGTATACGCACCACCACACACATACTATTCATACCCACTTCAAGCACTACAAACAATTACTCCCTCCAACAACTTACATCCTCATACTTTATTCCGTTGCAGCTATGTCTTCATATTCTTACAACGATTCCACATTCAACTATAATTTAATAAATAATCTCACCACAGCATTTACTCACACACTCACTATTCATGCTTTTTTCTGCTTACTAACTTTTACCTCCACCTATAATGTTCCTTGCGGAAAACATGCGCTTCTCTTCACCAAAGCGGATTACAATAATTGATGCTATTTGTATAAGTGCTGCGATGGCTGCACCTATTGAGGACACTGCTGAACACCAAACAAGACGGCATGCTGCCAGTGCTGCTATGCCTGCACCTACAGTGAATGCATCTCATCAAAAGCAATAAGCTCCACAGAAAGTAACACAGCACAATTTGCTGTTGCCACAGCTAATAAACTCCAGTCCGCCAACAAGCACCTCAGCTTGCAAACAGTACTACAATGGCTGCAACCAGGTGCCTACCCTGCAGCCAAAAGGATAAGTATTTTTTCCATAAATTTCTCACTTCATTTACACCGATCCATTAGTTGCTATTGGTTCCATGTCTACTTCTTGCAGCTACTGCCATACAATGACATTGAAAGGAGACCCTCCAAGGCTATTCTGCAACAGTACCATGGTTCAGCTTCCTACAATTAATGACCATACCGAGCCTATTCATGTATTGATACCTGAAAAGCCATTTCCAAAACAACAATTTAAAATATAACTCATGGTTCCAAATGATCATGTTTTGGCACCGACCAACTCATCGTAACATCTGGCTACATGCCCACATTTAAGTGCAGGGCCAGGTACATACTCGCATTGGCAGTCTGCTGCCACTACCTAATAACCTACCTACATTACCAGAGATCTACTTGCATATCTGACAATACCAGACAGGCTCACCAGCATTGCAAAAATGTCATAAACACCAAGATGCCAGTCCTATTGCTGTTGCAAGACATGCTCCATAAGGAAAACTCTTACATTCAGTTTCAAGTGTGCCATGTAAAAAATGACTTCAGAGTTACAATGTTGTCATTCATGCAGACTAAATTCCACATGGTCAACATGAGTGCCGCTTAAATGCACTCACATCTGAAGTCGCTGTCATTCTGACTGCTGAACATGGCACTCGAGGCATCGTCTTGCAACTGAGGAACAACACCCTACACAGAAATGAAACACACCGATCCCATGATGCTCTGCAATGTCTACTGATTTTCTGGCAAGGTGATGATGGCTACAATTTTTCCGACTTCACCAAACGGACCTAGCAACAGGCTTGCCAACACAAAAGAAGATTTCCGCCATGGACTGCTTTGCCTTCAGGATCATGGTGCGAACGGCAACTTCAATCTGTTCTTGAGATGCAAAGAGCTCTTCCACAAATTTTCTGTCGACATGTATACCAAAATGGAAGCTTCATTTGATGAAACCCACCAGATGGCAAAACATCCAACATTGTCTATCATGAAGCTCTCCAAGGGCCACTGATTTAGAAGTTGTCCTCATTATGAAACAAACAAGCCCTGATATTGTATAACACAACCAAAAAACCGAGACAATATACACACATTTACAGACTTCATTGGCAAAATTCAATAATTGTAATAAAGTCAGAATGGCAAGACATTACTCTTAATGTTTAATTACTGAGACCTGAGCTAAGTCGGGTAACTTAGTCATTACTGGAAAAATACTATACTTCCGATGAAGTTTTTGCGTGAGTGGGGAGCGGTGGTGCAACAGTTAGCGTGCTGCGCTATGAACCCAGTGAGCCAATTTATATTCCCACAGAGCCAAGCCACAACATTTGGCTGTCGCCTGATGAAGTTTGTTGAAATTACAGAAGAATCTCGGAGATGGAACGCACCAGAACTCGAACAAATCGGTGTTAGAACGATATTTCCGACCATTTTTTGCCCCGGAAACCGAACGAAATTCGGAGGTCGAACGGGCAATCACGACTTGAAAAAACCTGTTTGGCTGAGACGTGTATGGCCAGCATGCATGACGCTTACCCAGACAAATGTTTTACCGTGTGAGAGGCTTAGTTAACGCGTAGCTCTCACCCAGTGCAGACCGGCAAAACATCGTTCCTTAACTTTTTAGTTAATTTCCTTTATTTTAGTGTTTTTTGGTGTTTATCCATACACAATGTCTCCTAAGAAGGTTAGTGGTAGTGAAGTTCAATGTTCATTTATTTCATTTGTTGTTTGTTTTTTGTATTTTTTTATTCATGTAATTACTGTAAACTTCGTGTAAAAATGCTGTATGAGAGATGTATTGTGTCTGGAACCAATTCATGTCCTTAACATTAACTCTTATGGGGGAAATTAATTCGGTGTTCCAACAAATCGGTGTTCGAATGGCCTTCTGGAACGAATTAAGTTCGATCCCCGGGGTACCACTGTACTGTCAAAACGTCGTACTCAGATTGTAAATGTTGTGGCTTGGCTCTCCAACATACCGATATGCTGTACTAGTACACTACACTATACACTACCATACACTACACTATACACTACTATACACTACACTACACACTAGTGCTGTACTAGTGACACATGGTCCACGTTCTGTTTACGTGACAACCCTTGCTAATTGGCTGTGTCGGGTGGTGGCGGGGTTAACGACACATTGATTTATTTACGCGATCTCACACAAACAAACCTGTATTATGGCTGTATATTTGGAGTTTGCGTGTCCCTCTCTCTCCGTGGTCGCGTGGATTTTCCTCCGGATCCTGCGGTTTTCCCCTGCACATTTAGAGTCAACATCACCACGCGTTTAGAGTATTTGACCGATAAACATTTCCACGCGTTGATAAGCCCACTGTGTTGTGGGCAGGTAGCTTCTGAAAACGAGCGGTGTAGCTCAAGTGGGCTATGCCTGGTAAAATAAAAAAACGTAGAAATATTTAAAGTAAAAAAAAGTTTCAAAGTAGTGAGCCAGGTGAAGACAAATTAAACTTAAGCTGAGAATTAAAGCAAATGCAATCAGGCGAGGGCAGGAGGCAAGGCCCCGCATGGCTAGGCCCTGCGTTGTAATGTTCCAACCTGGACATCGATTCCATACTCGCTGCTACTCAATTGATATCCATACGAGAGGGAGAAGGAGCGAGGCTCTACCTAGGTTCACAACAACAACCACAACAATAACCACAACCACCACGATGTAATCTTCTCACCACGGATCTCCGTGCGCGAACGTGCGCGGAGCAGAAGCTTCCTGGTATGCCGTGACGTCATGCGGCAGGAGGTGACATGACGTCACTTGCGGGGTCCACACAATCCCCTCCCCTATCGAGCAGCAGTGTAACTTGAATAAATTATAATTTATCTTCTTGGTTCTTTCGGTAAAGTCACGTAGAAGGGAAGTAATAAAATAATAAAAATAAAACATACTAAAATAAGTCTCACGACGTTTATTTTATTACTTCCCTTCTACGTGACTTTACCGAAAGAACCAAGAAGATGAATCCCTGCAGTCACGAAAGCTTTAAATCGAAAAATTATAATTTGTTTTACCATTTTATCTGGCAACAAAACTGACACCTTTTTTACAAGGAGTCATGTTTGCATAGACCACAATACCTGCAGTCGTAATACAAACGAAAAATATAACTCTGATAATGTATGCACTGTCCTTGAAGTTGATTGGTCCACACCCAAGACAGCTTTCCTTAAGAGCCTAGTCTCACATGGTGTTGGACCAGATCAGTTTTGTTGACAGCTAAAAGGGGTAAAAAAAAATTATCATATTTTTTCCTCTGGCAAATGAGGTTACAATGGTGAATAAATTATATTTCGATTTAAAGCTTTCGTGACTGCAGGGCTTCATATTCTTGGTTCTTTCGGTAAAATCGACAGACCTGGTCTTCACCTGGTGACGGCTGCTTGCGTTGTGGCCGAAACGTGAGAATTATTTTATAGTTTTATTTTTATTTTATTATTTCCATTCTACGTGACTTTACCGAAAGAACCAATATGAATAAATTATGATAATGTGCCGGGCTCATTAACACTTAGTGACAAATGGCGGTTGTTTTTGTTACTGTGTGTGTACAGGCTGTTTGTATACTGTGCGGGTACACTGTGTACGCTCTGTGTAGACATGGTGTGTGTACACTGTGTGGGTGGTCCGAATCAGTCGGGCGGCATTATCATTTCATCGGCTGCGCAATGCTGTGTGGAAGCTACCTGGTCTGTCACTCCGCATGAAGCTTCGGTTCTTCTCGGCCACAGTAATGCCCTCCCTTCTGTAGCCATGTAAAACGTGGACCCCTCTAAATTGAACATCTGCTCCGGTTAGAAACATTCAGGCTGTCATGCCTACACTCAGATTAAGGGAAGCCCAGTGGTAGCACATTCTCTATTTATTACAGAGGTTCAAGGCTCAAATCCGACAGGCACCCCTGGCTACTCCAGTAACATTAAACCAAATATGCACCGTCTGCTTAACAGTGGATGTAAAACATACTATTGTCATTCAAAACGCATAGGTCATTGCATGTTGGGGTCATGGTCAATATTTGGATAATTCCAAACATTATCCAGAAATTACATAATGGAGATTACACATCGATCATCACTCCCTACTGACAGACTCATGCCCACATGCAGGCTCAAGCAGGGTCACCTTATCACACAGAGGCAGCTGCCACTTGAAGGTGCTCTTCGAGTGTCTGTGATGAGACATGAAACAACTGAGTTGCTAAGGCAATAAAGCAAGCACCATATCAATGCAAATATAAATATAACAGTGGAATACTTGGGAGCATATTGTCTCTTGATCCTGATTATTCATCTACCCAACCCACAGGTCAACAAATACTCGCCGCTCTTATTCTGCAGGCTGAACCCAGGAATTGAGTGTTCGACTTCACGTTCATTTTCATTAAAGGCCTGTGACAAAGGTGAATCTATTGGAGCTTCATTAAGCTTACACATCTACCGGGTCTCCATTTGACTTTGCATTGTCTAAGAAGTCCACCCACACCTCCACTTCCACAAACTGTTGGGAGGTGCCTCGCTCTGACTCACAGTCAGAATTCTCCTCCTGCTTCACGTTGCCCCCATCGATGTGAAGGTCCGATTTTGGAGTTGAATCTTCATCTTCACAGTTTACTGTCACTTTTTCGCTCTTCACCATCACTTTTTCACATTTCACCTTCACTTCTTCGCTCATCACTTCTTCACATTTCACCTTCGCCTCTTCACATTTCACCTTGATACCTTTAAAAGTGTCCATGCTGGGATTTAGTTCTGGTTTCATGAGGGATGGGCTCATTGCAGCACTTTGACTTTCACAAGCCGATTTCAGACTCCACTCCTTGGGGATCTTCTGATGATTGTATGTCCTCTGGTGTCTGTTAAGATTTGATAAACCTGCAAATGCTTTCCCGCACACAGTGCACCTGAAGGGTTTCTCTCCCGTGTGTGTTCTCTGGTGGCAATTAAGACCTGATGACCATGCAAATGACTTCTCACAGACAGTGCACTTGAAAGGTTTCTCTTTTGTGTGTGTTATCTGGTGTTGTTTAAGATGTGATGACACTGCAAACGCCTTCCCGCACAGACTGCACTTGAAGGGTTTCTCTCCCGTGTGTGTTCTCTGGTGCAATACAAGACCAGATGACTGTGAAAACACCTTCCCGCACAGACTGCACTTGAAGGGTTTCTCTCCTGTGTGTGTTCTCCGGTGTCTTTTAAGAGCAGATGAATTTGAAAATGCCTTCCCACACACACTGCACTTGAAGGGTTTCTCTCCCGTGTGTGTTCTCTGGTGTAGTTTAAGATGTGATGACTCGGCAAACGCCTTCCCGCACAGAGTGCACCTGAAGGGTTTCTCTCCTGTGTGAGTTCTCTGGTGCTGTGTGAAATGTCCAGGACGATCCGTGCTGTATGCACACTGGTCGCATTGTTGCATTTTTGTACCAAACTGCGCTGAGTGCCTTTGCTCCATCAGACCAATTCTGCAGAGGAAGCGTCAGAGGAAACGTCAGCTGCAGACAGAAAAAAGAGAATATCCACACCATCTACGTAAGTATCGAGGCACATATGACTTACACGTCTACACTTATTAATATTCCCAAATTCATCACACGGGCTGTTATGACAAACAATGAGGGCAAATAGTCATAAATATGCCTCGAAGCCCTATGTTAACCCAAAACTCGAAGCATACAATTTCGGTTGTCTGACTAGAAAATGAATATTTATGAAAGCTAAATTCAGCTAACAAAGCAAAGGGTGTTGAAAATAATACTGTTTGTATTATGCATAAATTAATGTTCAAACGAAACTTAGAGGTGTGAAGCCAGGCTCAGATTTTCTTGAATGCTGGGATGAACAGATCTAACTTCAGCTGCATATGTGTCGTGTTCATTTTCGTAAAAAGTTCCAAAGAAAAACAAAAATAAACTATTGTTTTGATTTAACCTCCGTGTTCAATAGAGTTAATATACTTTACTGCAAATACAAACTTGACACTGTTACACACTGGCATGGTAAAAAGGTGGTGGTGTGTCCAGAACCATGCCTGGCCACCTTCATCTGCTCAATATGAATGCTTCTCTCACTTCACCAAGTAATTAATTGAAGATCAATCAACATAGCCGAGACCCACAAGAAGTTAAGTTTTCACTTATCAATCACGTTTGTTGTCGGAGATAATCAAACTCAAATTATTGAATTCATAATACAGTAATAATACTATGTAACACAATTTTTGTTCCTGTGTACAAAGTGTTATTTTTTAATTGCTTATGCCTAAAAAGTATACAAAATCGCTATTATTCCCCACAAACTTTGCTTTTGTGACCAGGACTTTATGTGAACGAAAAGACACAAATTAGCCCGTTTTCTCATTGAAAATAGGTAAATTTCAAAATATCACTGTCCTGATCAAAAAAGCAAAGTTTGTGGGGAATAATCTGTACTTTTGAGGAATAGGCAATGAGGAAATAACACTACCCAGGAACAAAAATGTTTTTTTGTTACACAGTGTAATAACTGCGCCACCGCTCCCCACAGATAAACTCTTACAGATCTAGTGACATCGCGGGATGTCACTGTGTCGTGCTGGCCCTCGAGAGGCACGGCGTGCGGTGTAACGACATCGCGGATACCACTATGGTGGGTGTCGTACCAGCCCTAGAGCGCTGATTGATAGCGCAGGATGGCACCACGCTTGGCATGCAGTGCTGGCCCTACAGGATAGGGTGTGGGAGTGACGGCCGTAGGAATGAGGTTACTAAAGGCCATGGCACTCTGGTTGACCCGAGAGGACACGTGACCAGTTAAGTCTACGAAGGGGCCCCAAGTGGGGGCTAGGGGTGGTCCCGTGGTCGGGGTCCAGATCCTGCTCGAGGATTCTGGAAAGTGGTCGTGGCCAAGGGAGGGAGCCAGCCAAACCGCAGAGAATATAAGCCGGGTCCCCCAGAGGAACCGGCGTTGTTGTTCAACCTTAAGAAACCTTCGTCTACATCTAGGGTCTACGTTCCACTGAGTCTCCAACAAGTGGAACTGGACCCGAAACAAACAACCAAAAGCCCCAAGCCTCTTTATGATACTATAGGCATTAATTATATAAAAATGCAGAAATCGAGTTTCCGCTAAAAATCCGTACTCCTCTTCTGTACTCGATCGACAGAAAATAAATTACCTTCTTGGAAATTGCTGAGCGAAAGCTAAAAGTGCGATATTCAATACTTAAGCCTGGCTTCACACCTCTAAGTTTCGTTTGAACATTAATTTATGCATAATACAAACAGTATTATTTTCAACACCCTTTGCTTTGTTAGCTGAATTTAGCTTTCATAAATATTCATTTTCTAATCAGACAACCGAAATTGTATGCTTCGAGTTTTGGGTTAACATAGGGCTTCGAGGCATATTTATCGTTTTTTATTATTATTTTATTATTTCCCTTCTACGTGACTTTACCGAAAGAACCAAGAATAAGAATATAAAATTCACATCACAATCGAAACAAGTACTGTAGTGCATTCCAAATCAACTAAAAACTAAACAATTGAAATAAACATTCAGAAACCGTAAACAACAAAAAAATTGAAGACGAAAAATAGTATGAAGCTAATTAAATAAAGCAGACTTTGCGCATGTAAATTTTTTGTGAACCAAATTGTGCCAACACCATTAAACCTACACAGCGTAAACATTCAATGAGTACTCACAGGTGAGTTAGTGTGTTTGTCACACTATTTTTAGCTTACCTGCTCAACTTCAAACCTCAGACACCTGCACACTCCAACCCCCCACCATTCCTCCCCCCCCCCCCTCCATTTCTATCACCATGGGTTAGCCACACACGCAAACACATTATGACATTTCATATACTACAATTCCAAGCACTCATCATAACATAAGTGTCTGCACTGCAATATTTGTTGTCATATTTACCATGTTATCCTTCCCTATTATCAGACCTGCGCTTTTGCTGCCAAATTCATCCACTTCCAGCTCCTTACTGTCCTCTATGCACATGCACGGCTCACCTCTAACACACACTGCAATATTTATTTTAAAAAGACATGTACGATTCTAAAATATCTACATCTATGTGCCAGGACTACCGACCTCCTCCTACACAATATAGACGCTATGCAACAGCTACGACAAAATAAATCAAGTCTAGATCGCCTGGTAAGGAATAAAAAGCACGCACACACACATTCAACTTATTTTGTGTATACGCACCACCACACACATACTATTCATACCCACTTCAAGCACTACAAACAATTACTCCCTCCAACAACTTACATCCTCATACTTTATTCCGTTGCAGCTATGTCTTCATATTCTTACAACGATTCCACATTCAACTATAATTTAATAAATAATCTCACCACAGCATTTACTCACACACTCACTATTCATGCTTTTTTCTGCTTACTAACTTTTACCTCCACCTATAATGTTCCTTGCGGAAAACATGCGCTTCTCTTCACCAAAGCGGATTACAATAATTGATGCTATTTGTATAAGTGCTGCGATGGCTGCACCTATTGAGGACACTGCTGAACACCAAACAAGACGGCATGCTGCCAGTGCTGCTATGCCTGCACCTACAGTGAATGCATCTCATCAAAAGCAATAAGCTCCACAGAAAGTAACACAGCACAATTTGCTGTTGCCACAGCTAATAAACTCCAGTCCGCCAACAAGCACCTCAGCTTGCAAACAGTACTACAATGGCTGCAACCAGGTGCCTACCCTGCAGCCAAAAGGATAAGTATTTTTTCCATAAATTTCTCACTTCATTTACACCGATCCATTAGTTGCTATTGGTTCCATGTCTACTTCTTGCAGCTACTGCCATACAATGACATTGAAAGGAGACCCTCCAAGGCTATTCTGCAACAGTACCATGGTTCAGCTTCCTACAATTAATGACCATACCGAGCCTATTCATGTATTGATACCTGAAAAGCCATTTCCAAAACAACAATTTAAAATATAACTCATGGTTCCAAATGATCATGTTTTGGCACCGACCAACTCATCGTAACATCTGGCTACATGCCCACATTTAAGTGCAGGGCCAGGTACATACTCGCATTGGCAGTCTGCTGCCACTACCTAATAACCTACCTACATTACCAGAGATCTACTTGCATATCTGACAATACCAGACAGGCTCACCAGCATTGCAAAAATGTCATAAACACCAAGATGCCAGTCCTATTGCTGTTGCAAGACATGCTCCATAAGGAAAACTCTTACATTCAGTTTCAAGTGTGCCATGTAAAAAATGACTTCAGAGTTACAATGTTGTCATTCATGCAGACTAAATTCCACATGGTCAACATGAGTGCCGCTTAAATGCACTCACATCTGAAGTCGCTGTCATTCTGACTGCTGAACATGGCACTCGAGGCATCGTCTTGCAACTGAGGAACAACACCCTACACAGAAATGAAACACACCGATCCCATGATGCTCTGCAATGTCTACTGATTTTCTGGCAAGGTGATGATGGCTACAATTTTTCCGACTTCACCAAACGGACCTAGCAACAGGCTTGCCAACACAAAAGAAGATTTCCGCCATGGACTGCTTTGCCTTCAGGATCATGGTGCGAACGGCAACTTCAATCTGTTCTTGAGATGCAAAGAGCTCTTCCACAAATTTTCTGTCGACATGTATACCAAAATGGAAGCTTCATTTGATGAAACCCACCAGATGGCAAAACATCCAACATTGTCTATCATGAAGCTCTCCAAGGGCCACTGATTTAGAAGTTGTCCTCATTATGAAACAAACAAGCCCTGATATTGTATAACACAACCAAAAAACCGAGACAATATACACACATTTACAGACTTCATTGGCAAAATTCAATAATTGTAATAAAGTCAGAATGGCAAGACATTACTCTTAATGTTTAATTACTGAGACCTGAGCTAAGCCGGGTAACTTAGTCATTACTGGAAAAATACTATACTTCCGATGAAGTTTTTGCGTGAGTGGGGAGCGGTGGTGCAACAGTTAGCGTGCTGCGCTATGAACCCAGTGAGCCAATTTATATTCCCACAGAGCCAAGCCACAACATTTGGCTGTCGCCTGATGAAGTTTGTTGAAATTACAGAAGAATCTCGGAGATGGAACGCACCAGAACTCGAACAAATCGGTGTTAGAACGATATTTCCGACCATTTTTTGCCCCGGAAACCGAACGAAATTCGGAGGTCGAACGGGCAATCACGACTTGAAAAAACCTGTTTGGCTGAGACGTGTATGGCCAGCATGCATGACGCTTACCCAGACAAATGTTTTACCGTGTGAGAGGCTTAGTTAACGCGTAGCTCTCACCCAGTGCAGACCGGCAAAACATCGTTCCTTAACTTTTTAGTTAATTTCCTTTATTTTAGTGTTTTTTGGTGTTTATCCATACACAATGTCTCCTAAGAAGGTTAGTGGTAGTGAAGTTCAATGTTCATTTATTTCATTTGTTGTTTGTTTTTTGTATTTTTTTATTCATGTAATTACTGTAAACTTCGTGTAAAAATGCTGTATGAGAGATGTATTGTGTCTGGAACCAATTCATGTCCTTAACATTAACTCTTATGGGGGAAATTAATTCGGTGTTCCAACAAATCGGTGTTCGAATGGCCTTCTGGAACGAATTAAGTTCGATCCCCGGGGTACCACTGTACTGTCAAAACGTCGTACTCAGATTGTAAATGTTGTGGCTTGGCTCTCCAACATACCGATATGCTGTACTAGTACACTACACTATACACTACCATACACTACACTATACACTACTATACACTACACTACACACTAGTGCTGTACTAGTGACACATGGTCCACGTTCTGTTTACGTGACAACCCTTGCTAATTGGCTGTGTCGGGTGGTGGCGGGGTTAACGACACATTGATTTATTTACGCGATCTCACACAAACAAACCTGTATTATGGCTGTATATTTGGAGTTTGCGTGTCCCTCTCTCTCCGTGGTCGCGTGGATTTTCCTCCGGATCCTGCGGTTTTCCCCTGCACATTTAGAGTCAACATCACCACGCGTTTAGAGTATTTGACCGATAAACATTTCCACGCGTTGATAAGCCCACTGTGTTGTGGGCAGGTAGCTTCTGAAAACGAGCGGTGTAGCTCAAGTGGGCTATGCCTGGTAAAATAAAAAAACGTAGAAATATTTAAAGTAAAAAAAAGTTTCAAAGTAGTGAGCCAGGTGAAGACAAATTAAACTTAAGCTGAGAATTAAAGCAAATGCAATCAGGCGAGGGCAGGAGGCAAGGCCCCGCATGGCTAGGCCCTGCGTTGTAATGTTCCAACCTGGACATCGATTCCATACTCGCTGCTACTCAATTGATATCCATACGAGAGGGAGAAGGAGCGAGGCTCTACCTAGGTTCACAACAACAACCACAACAATAACCACAACCACCACGATGTAATCTTCTCACCACGGATCTCCGTGCGCGAACGTGCGCGGAGCAGAAGCTTCCTGGTATGCCGTGACGTCATGCGGCAGGAGGTGACATGACGTCACTTGCGGGGTCCACACAATCCCCTCCCCTATCGAGCAGCAGTGTAACTTGAATAAATTATAATTTATCTTCTTGGTTCTTTCGGTAAAGTCACGTAGAAGGGAAGTAATAAAATAATAAAAATAAAACATAATAAAATAAGTCTCACGACGTTTATTTTATTACTTCCCTTCTACGTGACTTTACCGAAAGAACCAAGAAGATGAATCCCTGCAGTCACGAAAGCTTTAAATCGAAAAATTATAATTTGTTTTACCATTTTATCTGGCAACAAAACTGACACCTTTTTTACAAGGAGTCATGTTTGCATAGACCACAATACCTGCAGTCGTAATACAAACGAAAAATATAACTCTGATAATGTATGCACTGTCCTTGAAGTTGATTGGTCCACACCCAAGACAGCTTTCCTTAAGAGCCTAGTCTCACATGGTGTTGGACCAGATCAGTTTTGTTGACAGCTAAAAGGGGTAAAAAAAAATTATCATATTTTTTCCTCTGGCAAATGAGGTTACAATGGTGAATAAATTATATTTCGATTTAAAGCTTTCGTGACTGCAGGGCTTCATATTCTTGGTTCTTTCGGTAAAATCGACAGACCTGGTCTTCACCTGGTGACGGCTGCTTGCGTTGTGGCCGAAACGTGAGAATTATTTTATAGTTTTATTTTTATTTTATTATTTCCATTCTACGTGACTTTACCGAAAGAACCAATATGAATAAATTATGATAATGTGCCGGGCTCATTAACACTTAGTGACAAATGGCGGTTGTTTTTGTTACTGTGTGTGTACAGGCTGTTTGTATACTGTGCGGGTACACTGTGTACGCTCTGTGTAGACATGGTGTGTGTACACTGTGTGGGTGGTCCGAATCAGTCGGGCGGCATTATCATTTCATCGGCTGCGCAATGCTGTGTGGAAGCTACCTGGTCTGTCACTCCGCATGAAGCTTCGGTTCTTCTCGGCCACAGTAATGCCCTCCCTTCTGTAGCCATGTAAAACGTGGACCCCTCTAAATTGAACATCTGCTCCGGTTAGAAACATTCAGGCTGTCATGCCTACACTCAGATTAAGGGAAGCCCAGTGGTAGCACATTCTCTATTTATTACAGAGGTTCAAGGCTCAAATCCGACAGGCACCCCTGGCTACTCCAGTAACATTAAACCAAATATGCACCGTCTGCTTAACAGTGGATGTAAAACATACTATTGTCATTCAAAACGCATAGGTCATTGCATGTTGGGGTCATGGTCAATATTTGGATAATTCCAAACATTATCCAGAAATTACATAATGGAGATTACACATCGATCATCACTCCCTACTGACAGACTCATGCCCACATGCAGGCTCAAGCAGGGTCACCTTATCACACAGAGGCAGCTGCCACTTGAAGGTGCTCTTCGAGTGTCTGTGATGAGACATGAAACAACTGAGTTGCTAAGGCAATAAAGCAAGCACCATATCAATGCAAATATAAATATAACAGTGGAATACTTGGGAGCATATTGTCTCTTGATCCTGATTATTCATCTACCCAACCCACAGGTCAACAAATACTCGCCGCTCTTATTCTGCAGGCTGAACCCAGGAATTGAGTGTTCGACTTCACGTTCATTTTCATTAAAGGCCTGTGACAAAGGTGAATCTATTGGAGCTTCATTAAGCTTACACATCTACCGGGTCTCCATTTGACTTTGCATTGTCTAAGAAGTCCACCCACACCTCCACTTCCACAAACTGTTGGGAGGTGCCTCGCTCTGACTCACAGTCAGAATTCTCCTCCTGCTTCACGTTGCCCCCATCGATGTGAAGGTCCGATTTTGGAGTTGAATCTTCATCTTCACAGTTTACTGTCACTTTTTCGCTCTTCACCATCACTTTTTCACATTTCACCTTCACTTCTTCGCTCATCACTTCTTCACATTTCACCTTCGCCTCTTCACATTTCACCTTGATACCTTTAAAAGTGTCCATGCTGGGATTTAGTTCTGGTTTCATGAGGGATGGGCTCATTGCAGCACTTTGACTTTCACAAGCCGATTTCAGACTCCACTCCTTGGGGATCTTCTGATGATTGTATGTCCTCTGGTGTCTGTTAAGATTTGATAAACCTGCAAATGCTTTCCCGCACACAGTGCACCTGAAGGGTTTCTCTCCCGTGTGTGTTCTCTGGTGGCAATTAAGACCTGATGACCATGCAAATGACTTCTCACAGACAGTGCACTTGAAAGGTTTCTCTTTTGTGTGTGTTATCTGGTGTTGTTTAAGATGTGATGACACTGCAAACGCCTTCCCGCACAGACTGCACTTGAAGGGTTTCTCTCCCGTGTGTGTTCTCTGGTGCAATACAAGACCAGATGACTGTGAAAACACCTTCCCGCACAGACTGCACTTGAAGGGTTTCTCTCCTGTGTGTGTTCTCCGGTGTCTTTTAAGAGCAGATGAATTTGAAAATGCCTTCCCACACACACTGCACTTGAAGGGTTTCTCTCCCGTGTGTGTTCTCTGGTGTAGTTTAAGATGTGATGACTCGGCAAACGCCTTCCCGCACAGAGTGCACCTGAAGGGTTTCTCTCCTGTGTGAGTTCTCTGGTGCTGTGTGAAATGTCCAGGACGATCCGTGCTGTATGCACACTGGTCGCATTGTTGCATTTTTGTACCAAACTGCGCTGAGTGCCTTTGCTCCATCAGACCAATTCTGCAGAGGAAGCGTCAGAGGAAACGTCAGCTGCAGACAGAAAAAAGAGAATATCCACACCATCTACGTAAGTATCGAGGCACATATGACTTACACGTCTACACTTATTAATATTCCCAAATTCATCACACGGGCTGTTATGACAAACAATGAGGGCAAATAGTCATAAATATGCCTCGAAGCCCTATGTTAACCCAAAACTCGAAGCATACAATTTCGGTTGTCTGACTAGAAAATGAATATTTATGAAAGCTAAATTCAGCTAACAAAGCAAAGGGTGTTGAAAATAATACTGTTTGTATTATGCATAAATTAATGTTCAAACGAAACTTAGAGGTGTGAAGCCAGGCTCAGATTTTCTTGAATGCTGGGATGAACAGATCTAACTTCAGCTGCATATGTGTCGTGTTCATTTTCGTAAAAAGTTCCAAAGAAAAACAAAAATAAACTATTGTTTTGATTTAACCTCCGTGTTCAATAGAGTTAATATACTTTACTGCAAATACAAACTTGACACTGTTACACACTGGCATGGTAAAAAGGTGGTGGTGTGTCCAGAACCATGCCTGGCCACCTTCATCTGCTCAATATGAATGCTTCTCTCACTTCACCAAGTAATTAATTGAAGATCAATCAACATAGCCGAGACCCACAAGAAGTTAAGTTTTCACTTATCAATCACGTTTGTTGTCGGAGATAATCAAACTCAAATTATTGAATTCATAATACAGTAATAATACTATGTAACACAATTTTTGTTCCTGTGTACAAAGTGTTATTTTTTAATTGCTTATGCCTAAAAAGTATACACAATCGCTATTATTCCCCACAAACTTTGCTTTTGTGACCAGGACTTTATGTGAACGAAAAGACACAAATTAGCCCGTTTTCTCATTGAAAATAGGTAAATTTCAAAATATCACTGTCCTGATCAAAAAAGCAAAGTTTGTGGGGAATAATCTGTACTTTTGAGGAATAGGCAATGAGGAAATAACACTACCCAGGAACAAAAATGTTTTTTTGTTACACAGTGTAATAACTGCGCCACCGCTCCCCACAGATAAACTCTTACAGATCTAGTGACATCGCGGGATGTCACTGTGTCGTGCTGGCCCTCGAGAGGCACGGCGTGCGGTGTAACGACATCGCGGATACCACTATGGTGGGTGTCGTACCAGCCCTAGAGCGCTGATTGATAGCGCAGGATGGCACCACGCTTGGCATGCAGTGCTGGCCCTACAGGATAGGGTGTGGGAGTGACGGCCGTAGGAATGAGGTTACTAAAGGCCATGGCACTCTGGTTGACCCGAGAGGACACGTGACCAGTTAAGTCTACGAAGGGGCCCCAAGTGGGGGCTAGGGGTGGTCCCGTGGTCGGGGTCCAGATCCTGCTCGAGGATTCTGGAAAGTGGTCGTGGCCAAGGGAGGGAGCCAGCCAAACCGCAGAGAATATAAGCCGGGTCCCCCAGAGGAACCGGCGTTGTTGTTCAACCTTAAGAAACCTTCGTCTACATCTAGGGTCTACGTTCCACTGAGTCTCCAACAAGTGGAACTGGACCCGAAACAAACAACCAAAAGCCCCAAGCCTCTTTATGATACTATAGGCATTAATTATATAAAAATGCAGAAATCGAGTTTCCGCTAAAAATCCGTACTCCTCTTCTGTACTCGATCGACAGAAAATAAATTACCTTCTTGGAAATTGCTGAGCGAAAGCTAAAAGTGCGATATTCAATACTTAAGCCTGGCTTCACACCTCTAAGTTTCGTTTGAACATTAATTTATGCATAATACAAACAGTATTATTTTCAACACCCTTTGCTTTGTTAGCTGAATTTAGCTTTCATAAATATTCATTTTCTAATCAGACAACCGAAATTGTATGCTTCGAGTTTTGGGTTAACATAGGGCTTCGAGGCATATTTATCGTTTTTATTATTATTTTATTATTTCCCTTCTACGTGACTTTACCGAAAGAACCAAGAATAAGAATATAAAATTCACATCACAATCGAAACAAGTACTGTAGTGCATTCCAAATCAACTAAAAACTAAACAATTGAAATAAACATTCAGAAACCGTAAACAAAAAAAAATTGAAGACGAAAAATAGTATGAAGCTAATTAAATAAAGCAGACTTTGCGCATGTAATTTTTTTGTGAACCAAATTGTGCCAACACCATTAAACCTACACAGCGTAAACATTCAATGAGTACTCACAGGTGAGTTAGTGTGTTTGTCACACTATTTTTAGCTTACCTGCTCAACTTCAAACCTCAGACACCTGCACACTCCAACCCCCCACCATTCCTCCCCCCCCCCCTCCATTTCTATCACCATGGGTTAGCCACACACGCAAACACATTATGACATTTCATATACTACAATTCCAAGCACTCATCATAACATAAGTGTCTGCACTGCAATATTTGTTGTCATATTTACCATGTTATCCTTCCCTATTATCAGACCTGCGCTTTTGCTGCCAAATTCATCCACTTCCAGCTCCTTACTGTCCTCTATGCACATGCACGGCTCACCTCTAACACACACTGCAATATTAATTTTAAAAAGACATGTACGATTCTAAAATATCTACATCTATGTGCCAGGACTACCGACCTCCTCCTACACAATATAGACGCTATGCAACAGCTACGACAAAATAAATCAAGTCTAGATCGCCTGGTAAGGAATAAAAAGCACGCACACACACATTCAACTTATTTTGTGTATACGCACCACCACACACATACTATTCATACCCACTTCAAGCACTACAAACAATTACTCCCTCCAACAACTTACATCCTCATACTTTATTCCGTTGCAGCTATGTCTTCATATTCTTACAACGATTCCACATTAAACTATAATTTAATAAATAATCTCACCACAGCATTTACTCACACACTCACTATTCATGCTTTTTTCTGCTTACTAACTTTTACCTCCACCTATAATGTTCCTTGCGGAAAACATGCGCTTCTCTTCACCAAAGCGGATTACAATAATTGATGCTATTTGTATAAGTGCTGCGATGGCTGCACCTATTGAGGACACTGCTGAACACCAAACAAGACGGCATGCTGCCAGTGCTGCTATGCCTGCACCTACAGTGAATGCATCTCATCAAAAGCAATAAGCTCCACAGAAAGTAACACAGCACAATTTGCTGTTGCCACAGCTAATAAACTCCAGTCCGCCAACAAGCACCTCAGCTTGCAAACAGTACTACAATGGCTGCAACCAGGTGCCTACCCTGCAGCCAAAAGGATAAGTATTTTTTCCATAAATTTCTCACTTCATTTACACCGATCCATTAGTTGCTATTGGTTCCATGTCTACTTCTTGCAGCTACTGCCATACAATGACATTGAAAGGAGACCCTCCAAGGCTATTCTGCAACAGTACCATGGTTCAGCTTCCTACAATTAATGACCATACCGAGCCTATTCATGTATTGATACCTGAAAAGCCATTTCCAAAACAACAATTTAAAATATAACTCATGGTTCCAAATGATCATGTTTTGGCACCGACCAACTCATCGTAACATCTGGCTACATGCCCACATTTAAGTGCAGGGCCAGGTACATACTCGCATTGGCAGTCTGCTGCCACTACCTAATAACCTACCTACATTACCAGAGATCTACTTGCATATCTGACAATACCAGACAGGCTCACCAGCATTGCAAAAATGTCATAAACACCAAGATGCCAGTCCTATTGCTGTTGCAAGACATGCTCCATAAGGAAAACTCTTACATTCAGTTTCAAGTGTGCCATGTAAAAAATGACTTCAGAGTTACAATGTTGTCATTCATGCAGACTAAATTCCACATGGTCAACATGAGTGCCGCTTAAATGCACTCACATCTGAAGTCGCTGTCATTCTGACTGCTGAACATGGCACTCGAGGCATCGTCTTGCAACTGAGGAACAACACCCTACACAGAAATGAAACACACCGATCCCATGATGCTCTGCAATGTCTACTGATTTTCTGGCAAGGTGATGATGGCTACAATTTTTCCGACTTCACCAAACGGACCTAGCAACAGGCTTGCCAACACAAAAGAAGATTTCCGCCATGGACTGCTTTGCCTTCAGGATCATGGTGCGAACGGCAACTTCAATCTGTTCTTGAGATGCAAAGAGCTCTTCCACAAATTTTCTGTCGACATGTATACCAAAATGGAAGCTTCATTTGATGAAACCCACCAGATGGCAAAACATCCAACATTGTCTATCATGAAGCTCTCCAAGGGCCACTGATTTAGAAGTTGTCCTCATTATGAAACAAACAAGCCCTGATATTGTATAACACAACCAAAAAACCGAGACAATATACACACATTTACAGACTTCATTGGCAAAATTCAATAATTGTAATAAAGTCAGAATGGCAAGACATTACTCTTAATGTTTAATTACTGAGACCTGAGCTAAGCCGGGTAACTTAGTCATTACTGGAAAAATACTATACTTCCGATGAAGTTTTTGCGTGAGTGGGGAGCGGTGGTGCAACAGTTAGCGTGCTGCGCTATGAACCCAGTGAGCCAATTTATATTCCCACAGAGCCAAGCCACAACATTTGGCTGTCGCCTGATGAAGTTTGTTGAAATTACAGAAGAATCTCGGAGATGGAACGCACCAGAACTCGAACAAATCGGTGTTAGAACGATATTTCCGACCATTTTTTGCCCCGGAAACCGAACGAAATTCGGAGGTCGAACGGGCAATCACGACTTGAAAAAACCTGTTTGGCTGAGACGTGTATGGCCAGCATGCATGACGCTTACCCAGACAAATGTTTTACCGTGTGAGAGGCTTAGTTAACGCGTAGCTCTCACCCAGTGCAGACCGGCAAAACATCGTTCCTTAACTTTTTAGTTAATTTCCTTTATTTTAGTGTTTTTTGGTGTTTATCCATACACAATGTCTCCTAAGAAGGTTAGTGGTAGTGAAGTTCAATGTTCATTTATTTCATTTGTTGTTTGTTTTTTGTATTTTTTTATTCATGTAATTACTGTAAACTTCGTGTAAAAATGCTGTATGAGAGATGTAGTGTCTGGAACCAATTCATGTCCTTAACATTAACTCTTATGGGGGAAATTAATTCGGTGTTCCAACAAATCGGTGTTCGAATGGCCTTCTGGAACGAATTAAGTTCGATCCCCGGGGTACCACTGTACTGTCAAAACGTCGTACTCAGATTGTAAATGTTGTGGCTTGGCTCTCCAACATACCGATATGCTGTACTAGTACACTACACTATACACTACCATACACTACACTATACACTACTATACACTACACTACACACTAGTGCTGTACTAGTGACACATGGTCCACGTTCTGTTTACGTGACAACCCTTGCTAATTGGCTGTGTCGGGTGGTGGCGGGGTTAACGACACATTGATTTATTTACGCGATCTCACACAAACAAACCTGTATTATGGCTGTATATTTGGAGTTTGCGTGTCCCTCTCTCTCCGTGGTCGCGTGGATTTTCCTCCGGATCCTGCGGTTTTCCCCTGCACATTTAGAGTCAACATCACCACGCGTTTAGAGTATTTGACCGATAAACATTTCCACGCGTTGATAAGCCCACTGTGTTGTGGGCAGGTAGCTTCTGAAAACGAGCGGTGTAGCTCAAGTGGGCTATGCCTGGTAAAATAAAAAAACGTAGAAATATTTAAAGTAAAAAAAAGTTTCAAAGTAGTGAGCCAGGTGAAGACAAATTAAACTTAAGCTGAGAATTAAAGCAAATGCAATCAGGCGAGGGCAGGAGGCAAGGCCCCGCATGGCTAGGCCCTGCGTTGTAATGTTCCAACCTGGACATCGATTCCATACTCGCTGCTACTCAATTGATATCCATACGAGAGGGAGAAGGAGCGAGGCTCTACCTAGGTTCACAACAACAACCACAACAATAACCACAACCACCACGATGTAATCTTCTCACCACGGATCTCCGTGCGCGAACGTGCGCGGAGCAGAAGCTTCCTGGTATGCCGCGACGTCATGCGGCAGGAGGTGACATGACGTCACTTGCGGGGTCCACACAATCCCCTCCCCTATCGAGCAGCAGTGTAACTTGAATAAATTATAATTTATCTTCTTGGTTCTTTCGGTAAAGTCACGTAGAAGGGAAGTAATAAAATAATAAAAATAAAACATAATAAAATAAGTCTCACGACGTTTATTTTATTACTTCCCTTCTACGTGACTTTACCGAAAGAACCAAGAAGATGAATCCCTGCAGTCACGAAAGCTTTAAATCGAAAAATTATAATTTGTTTTACCATTTTATCTGGCAACAAAACTGACACCTTTTTTACAAGGAGTCATGTTTGCATAGACCACAATACCTGCAGTCGTAATACAAACGAAAAATATAACTCTGATAATGTATGCACTGTCCTTGAAGTTGATTGGTCCACACCCAAGACAGCTTTCCTTAAGAGCCTAGTCTCACATGGTGTTGGACCAGATCAGTTTTGTTGACAGCTAAAAGGGGTAAAAAAAAATTATCATATTTTTTCCTCTGGCAAATGAGGTTACAATGGTGAATAAATTATATTTCGATTTAAAGCTTTCGTGACTGCAGGGCTTCATATTCTTGGTTCTTTCGGTAAAATCGACAGACCTGGTCTTCACCTGGTGACGGCTGCTTGCGTTGTGGCCGAAACGTGAGAATTATTTTATAGTTTTATTTTTATTTTATTATTTCCATTCTACGTGACTTTACCGAAAGAACCAATATGAATAAATTATGATAATGTGCCGGGCTCATTAACACTTAGTGACAAATGGCGGTTGTTTTTGTTACTGTGTGTGTACAGGCTGTTTGTATACTGTGCGGGTACACTGTGTACGCTCTGTGTAGACATGGTGTGTGTACACTGTGTGGGTGGTCCGAATCAGTCGGGCGGCATTATCATTTCATCGGCTGCGCAATGCTGTGTGGAAGCTACCTGGTCTGTCACTCCGCATGAAGCTTCGGTTCTTCTCGGCCACAGTAATGCCCTCCCTTCTGTAGCCATGTAAAACGTGGACCCCTCTAAATTGAACATCTGCTCCGGTTAGAAACATTCAGGCTGTCATGCCTACACTCAGATTAAGGGAAGCCCAGTGGTAGCACATTCTCTATTTATTACAGAGGTTCAAGGCTCAAATCCGACAGGCACCCCTGGCTACTCCAGTAACATTAAACCAAATATGCACCGTCTGCTTAACAGTGGATGTAAAACATACTATTGTCATTCAAAACGCATAGGTCATTGCATGTTGGGGTCATGGTCAATATTTGGATAATTCCAAACATTATCCAGAAATTACATAATGGAGATTACACATCGATCATCACTCCCTACTGACAGACTCATGCCCACATGCAGGCTCAAGCAGGGTCACCTTATCACACAGAGGCAGCTGCCACTTGAAGGTGCTCTTCGAGTGTCTGTGATGAGACATGAAACAACTGAGTTGCTAAGGCAATAAAGCAAGCACCATATCAATGCAAATATAAATATAACAGTGGAATACTTGGGAGCATATTGTCTCTTGATCCTGATTATTCATCTACCCAACCCACAGGTCAACAAATACTCGCCGCTCTTATTCTGCAGGCTGAACCCAGGAATTGAGTGTTCGACTTCACGTTCATTTTCATTAAAGGCCTGTGACAAAGGTGAATCTATTGGAGCTTCATTAAGCTTACACATCTACCGGGTCTCCATTTGACTTTGCATTGTCTAAGAAGTCCACCCACACCTCCACTTCCACAAACTGTTGGGAGGTGCCTCGCTCTGACTCACAGTCAGAATTCTCCTCCTGCTTCACGTTGCCCCCATCGATGTGAAGGTCCGATTTTGGAGTTGAATCTTCATCTTCACAGTTTACTGTCACTTTTTCGCTCTTCACCATCACTTTTTCACATTTCACCTTCACTTCTTCGCTCATCACTTCTTCACATTTCACCTTCGCCTCTTCACATTTCACCTTGATACCTTTAAAAGTGTCCATGCTGGGATTTAGTTCTGGTTTCATGAGGGATGGGCTCATTGCAGCACTTTGACTTTCACAAGCCGATTTCAGACTCCACTCCTTGGGGATCTTCTGATGATTGTATGTCCTCTGGTGTCTGTTAAGATTTGATAAACCTGCAAATGCTTTCCCGCACACAGTGCACCTGAAGGGTTTCTCTCCCGTGTGTGTTCTCTGATGTAGTTTAAGATGCGATGACTCAGCAAACGCCTTCCCGCACAGAGTGCACTTGAAGGGTTTCTCTCCCGTGTGTGTTCTCTGGTGGCAATTAAGACCTGATGACCATGCAAATGACTTCTCACAGACAGTGCACTTGAAAGGTTTCTCTTTTGTGTGTGTTATCTGGTGTTGTTTAAGATGTGATGACACTGCAAACGCCTTCCCGCACAGACTGCACTTGAAGGGTTTCTCTCCCGTGTGTGTTCTCTGGTGCAATACAAGACCAGATGACTGTGAAAACACCTTCCCGCACAGACTGCACTTGAAGGGTTTCTCTCCTGTGTGTGTTCTCCGGTGTTTTTTAAGAGCAGATGAATCTGAAAATGCCTTCCCACACACACTGCACTTGAAGGGTTTCTCTCCCGTGTGTGTTCTCTGGTGTAGTTTAAGATGTGATGACTCGGCAAACGCCTTCCCGCACAGAGTGCACCTGAAGGGTTTCTCTCCCGTGTGTGTTCTCTGGTGGCTCTGAAGAACTGATGGCCATGCAAATGACTTTTCACACAAAGTGCACTTTAAGGGTTTCTCTCCTGTGTGAGTTCTCTGGTGCTGTGTCAAATGTCCAGGACGATCCGTGCTGTATGCACACTGGTCGCATTGTTGCATTTTTGTACCAAACTGCGCTGAGGGTCGTTGCTCCATCAGACCAATTCTGCAGAGGAAGCGTCAGAGGAAGCGTCAGCTGCAGACAGAAAAAAGAGAATATCCACACCATCTACGTAAGTATCGAGGCACATATGACTTACACGTCTATACTTATTAATATTCCCAAATTCATCACACGGGCTGTTATGACAAACAATGAGGGCAAATAGTCATAAATATGCCTCGAAGCCCTATGTTAACCCAAAACTCGAAGCATACAATTTCGATTGTCTGACTAGAAAATGAATATTTATGAAAGCTAAATTCAGCTAACAAAGCAAAGGGTGTTGAAAATAATACTGTTTGTATTATGCATAAATTAATGTTCAAACGAAACTTAGAGGTGTGAAGCCAGGCTCAGATTTCCTTGAATGCTGGGATGAACAGATCTAACTTCAGCTGCATATGTGTCGTGTTCATTTTCGTAAAAAGTTCCAAAGGAAAACTAAAATAAACTATTGTTTTGATTTAACCTCCGTGTTCAATAGAGTTAATATACTTTACTGCAAATACAAACTTGACACTGTTACACACTGGCATGGTAAAAAGGTGGTGGTGTGTCCAGAACCATGCCTGGCCACCTTCATCTGCTCAATATGAATGCTTCTCTCACTTCACCAAGTAATTAATTGAAGATCAATCAACATAGCCGAGACCCACAAGAAGTTAAGTTTTCACTTATCAATCACGTTTGTTGTCGGAGATAATCAAACTCAAATTATTGAATTCATAATACAGTAATAATACTATGTAACACAATTTTTGTTCCTGTGTACAAAGTGTTATTTTTTAATTGCGTATGCCTAAAAAGTATAGAAAATCGCTATTATTCCCCACAAACTTTGCTTTTGTGACCAGGACTTTATGTGAACGAAAAGACACAAATTAGCCCGTTTTCTCATTGAAAATAGGTAAATTTCAAAATATCACTGTCCTGATCAAAAAAGCAAAGTTTGTGGGGAATAATCTGTACTTTTGAGGAATAGGCAATGAGGAAATAACACTACCCAGGAACAAAAATGTTTTTTTGTTACACAGTGTAATAACTGCGCCACCGCTCCCCACAGATAAACTCTTACAGATCTAGTGACATCGCGGGATGTCACTGTGTCGTGCTGGCCCTCGAGAGGCACGGCGTGCGGTGTAACGACATCGCGGATACCACTATGGTGGGTGTCGTACCAGCCCTAGAGCGCTGATTGATAGCGCAGGATGGCACCACGCTTGGCATGCAGTGCTGGCCCTACAGGATAGGGTGTGGGAGTGACGGCCGTAGGAATGAGGTTACTAAAGGCCATGGCACTCTGGTTGACCCGAGAGGACACGTGACCAGTTAAGTCTACGAAGGGGCCCCAAGTGGGAGCTAGGGGTGGTCACGTGGTCGAGGTCCAGATCCTGCTCGAGGATTCTGGAAAGTGGTCGTGGCCAAGGGAGGGAGCCAGCCAAACCGCAGAGAATATAAGCCGGGTCCCCCAGAGGAACCGGCGTTGTTGTTCAACCTTAAGAAACCTTCGTCTACATCTAGGGTCTACGTTCCACTGAGTCTCCAACAAGTGGAACTGGACCCGAAACAAACAACCAAAAGCCCCAAGCCTCTTTATGATACTATAGGCATTAATTATATAAAAATGCAGAAATCGAGTTTCCGCTAAAAATCCGTACTCCTCTTCTGTACTCGATCGACAGAAAATAAATTACCTTCTTGGAAATTGCTGAGCGAAAGCTAAAAGTGCGATATTCAATACTTAAGCCTGGCTTCACACCTCTAAGTTTCGTTTGAACATTAATTTATGCATAATACAAACAGTATTATTTTCAACACCCTTTGCTTTGTTAGCTGAATTTAGCTTTCATAAATATTCATTTTCTAGTCAGACAACCGAAATTGTATGCTTCGAGTTTTGGATTAACATAGGGCTTCGAGGCATATTTATCGTTTTTTATTATTATTTTATTATTTCCCTTCTACGTGACTTTACCGAAAGAACCAAGAATAAGAATATAAAATTCACATCACAATCGAAACAAGTACTGTAGTGCATTGCAAATCAACTAAAAACTAAACAATTGAAATAAACATTCAGAAACCGTAAACAAAAAAAAATTGAAGACGAAAAATAGTATGAAGCTAATTAAATAAAGCAGACTTTGCGCATGTAAATTTTTTGTGAACCAAATTGTGCCAACACCATTAAACCTACACAGCGTAAACATTCAATGAGTACTCACAGGTGAGTTAGTGTGTTTGTCACACTATTTTTAGCTTACCTGCTCAACTTCAAACCTCAGACACCTGCACACTCCAACCCCCCACCATTCCTCCCCCCCCCTCTATTTCTATCACCATGGGTTAGCCACACACGCAAACACATTATGACATTTCATATACTACAATTCCAAGCACTCATCATAACATAAGTGTCTGCACTGCAATATTTGTTGTCATATTTACCATGTTATCCTTCCCTATTATCAGACCTGCGCTTTTGCTGCCAAATTCATCCACTTCCAGCTCCTTACTGTCCTCTCTGCACATGCACGGCTCACCTCTAACACACACTGCAATATTTATTTTAAAAAGACATGTACGATTCTAAAATATCTACATCTATGTGCCAGGACTACCGACCTCCTCCTACACAATATAGACGCTATACAACAGCTACGACAAAATAAATCAAGTCTAGATCGCCTGGTAAGGAATAAAAAGCACGCACACACACATTCAACTTATTTTGTGTATACGCACCACCACACACATACTATTTATTCATACCCACTTCAAGCACTACAAACAATTACTCCCTCCAACAACTTACATCCTCATACTTTATTCCGTTGCAGCTATGTCTTCATATTCTTACAACGATTCCACATTCAACTATAATTTAATAAATAATCTCACCACAGCATTTACTCACACACTCACTATTCATGCTTTTTTCTGCTTACTAACTTTTACCTCCACCTATAATGTTCCTTGCGGAAAACATGCGCTTCTCTTCACCAAAGCGGATTACAATAATTGATGCTATTTGTATAAGTGCTGCGATGGCTGCACCTATTGAGGACACTGCTGAACACCAAACAAGACGGCATCTCATCAAAAGCAATAAGCTCCACAGAAAGTAACACAGCACAATTGGCTGTTGCAACAGCTAATAGACTCCAGTCCGCCAACAAGCACCTCAGCTTGCAAACAGTACTACAATGGCTGCAACCAGGTGCCTACCCTGCAGCCAAAAGGATAAGTATTTTTTTCCATACATTTCTCACTTCATTTACACCGATCCATTAGTTGCTATTGGTTCCATGTCTACTTCTTGCAGCTACTGCCATACAATGACATTGAAAGGAGACCCTCCAAGGCTATTCTGCAACAGTACCATGGTTCAGCTTCCTACAATTAATGACCATACCGAGCCTATTCATGTATTGATACCTGAAAAGCCATTTCCAAAACAAGAAGTTAAAATATAACTCATGGTTCCAAATGATCATGTTTTGGCACCGACCAACTCATCGTAACATCTGGCTACATGCCCACATTTAAGTGCAGGGCCAGGTACATAATCGCATTGGCAGTCTGCTGCCACTACCTAATAACCTACCTACATTACCAGAGATCTACTTGCATATCTGACAATACCAGACAGGCTCACCAGCATTGCAAAAATGTCATAAACACCAAGATGCCAGTCCTATTGCTGTTGCAAGACATGCTCCATAAGGAAAACTCTTACATTCAGTTTCAAGTGTGCCATGTAAAAAATGACTTCAGAGTTACAATGTTGTCATTCATGCAGACTAAAATCCACATGGTCAACATGAGTGCCGCTTAAATGCACTCACATCTGAAGTCGCTGTCATTCTGACTGCTGAACATGGCACTCGAGGTATCGTCTTGCAACTGAGGAACAACACCCTACACAGAAATGAAACACACCGATCCTATGATGCTCTGCAATGTCTACTGATTTTCTGGCAAGGTGATGATGGCTACAATTTTTCCGACTTCGCCAAACGGACCTAGCAACAGGCTTGCCAACACAAAAGAAGATTTCCGCCATGGACTGCTTTGCCTTCAGGATCATGGTGTGAACGGCAACTTCAATCTGTTCTTGAGATGCAAAGAGCTCTTCCACAAATTTTCTGTCGACATGTATACCAAAATGGAAGCTTCATTTGATGAAACCCACCAGATGGCAAAACATCCAACATTGTCTATCATGAAGTTCTCCAAGGGCCACTGATTTAGAAGTTGTCCTCATTATGAAACAAACAAGCCCTGATATTGTATAACACAACCAAAAAACCGAGACAATATACACACATTTACAGACTTCATTGGCAAAATTCAATAATTGTAATAAAGTCAGAATGGCAAGACATTACTCTTAATGTTTGATTACTGAGACCTGAGCTAAGCCGGGTAACTTAGTCATTACTGGAAAAATACTATACTTCCGATGAAGTTTTTGCGTGAGTGGGGAGCGGTGGTGCAACAGTTAGCGTGCTGCGCTATGAACCCAGTGAGCCAATTTATATTCCCACAGAGTCAAGCCACAACATTTGGCTGTCGCCTGATGAAGTTTGTTGAAATTACAGAAGAATCTCGGAGATGGAACGCACCAGAACTCGAACAAATCGGTGTTAGAACGATATTTCCGACCATTTTTTGCCCCGGAAACCGAACGAAATTCGGAGGTCGAACGGGCAATCACGACTTGAAAGAACCTGTACGGCTGAGACGCGTATGGCCAGCATGCATGACGCTTGCCCAGACAAACGTTTTACCATGCGAGAGGCTCAGTTAATGCGTAGCTCTCACCCAGTGCAGACCGGCAAAACATCTTTCCTTAACTTTTTAGTTAATTTCCTTTATTTTAGTGTTTTTTGGTGTTTATCCATACACAATGTCTCCTAAGAAGGTTAGTGGTAGTGAAGTTCAATGTTCATTTATTTCATTTATTGTTTGTTTTTTTGTATGATTTTATTCATGTAATTACTGTAAACTTCGTGTAAAATGCTGTATGAGAGATGTATTGTGTCTGGAACCAATTCATGTCCTTAACATTAACTCTTATGGGGGAAATTAATTCGGTGTTCCAACAAATCGGTGTTCGAATGGCCTTCTGGAACGAATTAAGTTCGATCCCCGGGGTACCACTGTACTGTCAAAACGTCGTACTCAGATTGTAAATGTTGTGGCTTGGCTCTCCAACATACCGATATGCTGTACTAGTACACTACACTATACACTACCATACACTACACTATACACTACTATACACTACACTACACACTAGTGCTGTACTAGTGACATGGTCCACGTTCTGTTTACGTGACAACCCTTGCTAATTGGCTGTGTCGGGTGGTGGCGGGGTTAACGACACATTGATTTATTTACGCGATCAATCCCAAACAAACCTGTATTATGGCTGTATATTTGGAGTTTGCGTGTCCCTCTCTCTCCGTGGTCGCGTGGATTTTCCTCCGGATCCTGCGGTTTTCCCTGCACATTTAGAGTCAACATCACCACGCGTTTAGAGTATTTGACCGATAAACATTTCCACGCGTTGATAAGCCCACTGTGTTGTGGGCAGGTCGCTTCTGAAAAAGAGCGGTGTAGCTCAAGTGGGCTATGCCTGGTAAAATAAAAAACCGTAGAAATATTAAAAGAAAAACAAAGTTTCAAAGTAGTGAGCCAGGTGAAGACAAATTCAACTTAAGCAGAGGATTAAAGCAAATGCAATCAGACGAGGGCAGGAGGCAAGGCCCCGCGTTGTAATGTTCCAACCTGGACATCGATTTCATACTCGCTGCTACTCAATTGATATCCCTACGAGGGAGAAGGAGCGAGGCTCTACCTGGGTTCACAACAACAACAACCACAACAACGACGATGTCAACTTCTCACCTCGGATCTCAGTGAGCGAGCGTGAGCGGAGCGGCAGCTTCCTGGTATGTCGTGACGTCATGCGGCAGCAGGTGACATGACGTCACTTGCGGGGTTCACACAATCCCCCGCCCCGTACGAGCAACAGGGTAACTGAATAAATTATGATAATGCACAGGGCTCATTAACACTTAGTGGCGAATGGCGGTTGTTGTTCTTGTTACTGCGTGTGTACAGGCTGTTTGTATACTGTGTGGGTAAAACGTGGACCCCTCTAAATGGAACATCTGCGCCGGTTAGAAACATTCAGGCTGTCATGCCTACACTCAGATTGAGGGAAGCCAAGTGGTAGCACATTCTCTATTTATTGCAGAGGTTCAAGGTTCACATCCGACAGGCACGCCTGGCTACTCCAGTAACATTAAACCAAATATGCACCGTCTGCTTAACAGTGTATGTAAAGCATACTATTGTCATTCAAAACGCATCGGTCGTTTCAGGTTGGTGTCATGGTCAATATTTGGATAATTCCAAACAATATCCAAAAATTACAGAATGGAGATTACAGATCAATCATTACCTCCTACTTACAGACTCATGCCCACATGCAGGCTCGTGCAGGGTCACCTGATGCCACACAGAGGCAGATGCCACTTGGGGGTGCTCTTCGAGTGTTTGTGATGAGATAAGAAACAAAACTGAGTTGTTGAGGCAATTAAGCAAGCACCATATGAATGCAAATATGAATATAAGAGTGGAATCAATGCTTACGTGCCTTTTCCCAAAATTAATGTAGTGTCGTGCCGAATCACTCAGTCGGACACGTTGCTCCAAGTCACCTGCTTACACTATATTACTCTCTCTCGTACCAGTTATAGGCACTCCTATCTCTGTCTATACGGTTACTTTATTAACCAACTAGATTGACTACCCGGCTTCGCCCGGGTCTTGGATCCACGACGCCAGGCCGCGTTTGTCTCCCCAGTGACGATGGTCACACACGACACCAGTTACGCGTTTGAGGCTGAGTCTACCTAGGGGAGGCCCAGGTCGGGTTGAAATAATGGTCACCGGTGGTGGCCGTGAGTGGGAATGGGCGTACGTGTTACAAATTGACTAACTTTACTTCATAGCCAGGCTACAGTGTACATTATAGACTGCCAGTACACGCAGCCAGCTGAATAAGCAGGCTGCAGTCTACATAATAGACGGGCAGTACGCTAAACCAGCTTAATGACTATTTGTACAAAGAACATTTAAAGAATCGATTATAATAACCAGGCTACAGTCTACATTATAGACTGCCAGTACACCCACTCAGCTTCATAAGCAGGCTAGAGTGTACATGATAGAGTGGCAGTACGCTCACCGAGGTTAATAAGCAGGCTACAGTCTACATTATAGACTGTCAGTACACTCAGGCAATTTAATAAGCAGGCTACAGTCGACATTATAGACTGTCAGTACGCTCACCCAGCTTAATGACTATTTGTACAGTGACCATTTAAAGAATCGAATGTTGGCGCGTTGGGTTTAAAAGTAATATTAATTGCACACAATGTGGTGGGGGGGGGGGAGTGAAGAGTACGTGAAAGTTTGATGAATTTACCTCAGAGTAGCATGGTGGGTGTGGAGGCCTAGTAGCGTGCAGAGCCTCCGGCCTCGCCCAAATTGCCCACCCGGCAGAGGCAGGGTACGGGTGGCGTTCCCCCCCCCCCCCCCCCGCGCTACAATAATACTGTGTAATCGCTATTATTTAATTATCTACGGAGCGTATAATAGTAATTGAAGACATTGGGGTGGGAGGGGAGTGAAGAGGACGTGAAACTGTGATGAATTTACCTCAGAGTAGCATGGTGGGTGTGGAGGCCTAGTAGCGTGCAGAGCCTCCGGCCTCGCCCAAATTGCCCACCCGGCAGAGGCAGGGTACGGGTGGCGTTCCCCCCCCCCCCCCCCCCCCGCGCTACAATAATACTGTGTAATCGCTATTATTTAATTATCTACGGAGCGTATAATAGTAATTGAAGACATTGGGGTGGGAGGGGAGTGAAGAGGACGTGAAACTGTGATGAATTTACCTCAGAGTCGCGTGTTAATGCGTGCGCCTATTTTTAACGGGAATTAAAAATGGCGAATGCGTCGCTACCCGTTGCCAGGGGCAACGGCCGGACCAATCGTGTGTCGCAATGCAGGGGCAACCGCCGGACCAATAGTGTGTCGCAAATCCCTGACATTTCGTCCAATGAAAGTGCGTATGGTCCGGCGACACACAGACACACAGACAGACAGACAGATTCACGATTTTATATATATAGATTGCCCCTATCTACTTTACACCTCGCTGACCTGCCTGCGGCAGCTCTTCCTCTCAGCAGCTCCGCACTCACAGCTCCGCACACAGACAGCAGCTCACACAGCTTGCACACAGTCGTGCTCACACAGAGCTTGAACACAGCAGAGCTCACACAGAGGCATCACTAACACAGAAGCTTCGTTCAGAGCTTGCGCACAGCTACTCTCCCTCTATGCTGCTGCCCTCGCCTACGTTCCCTCAGAACCACTCACTCGTCCGATCCGGGCGGGGGGATCAACCATCACCCGCCCATCGACTCGCGAGGGTTGAGGCTGTCCCAAGCTTGAGCGGCAGCGGCGAGATGTCTTCACCTTGGTCCCATAACCCGAATCCCGCTCCGCCCTCACACACCCCCTTATATCCCTCCTCCCAATTATCCAGCTGCTCCCTTGTGTCTCTTTAGGGCCCGACAGGCTGGCACCTGTCAGGCCATCAATCACTCCTTATCGCACGTCTCCAAGGCGACACCTCCAGTGCCAACGTATGACCCCAGACCGACCCCGTCTGCAACCGAATCTCCCGATGAAGAGGTAGCGGTTTGCAAATGCAACCTTACATTGCACACGCGCACCTGCCTGCCCTCGGTTGCCCTCGGGCAGCAGTGCGCGCCGCATGAGGAATCCTTCCCGCAGTACGATGGAGGGGCGACCCGCAGCACCCGGTCTCCGAGAAACACGCCGGCGCAACGTCAACAGCGAAGCATAATCGAACTGCAGCTTAGCCCACGTCTCGTCGTCGATAATAAATATAATTACATTGTGACTGAGTGCCCATATCCCACATTGTCCCTGCTTCCGTGTGCACCATGGGCGCCTCCCCTTTGCGGGGGCTTACATCTCGACGCGCCTGAAGTACACGTGCACACGGTATGGGGCGGCAACCGGGACAAGGCGTCAGCATTGACGTGCCGAGTGCCCTTCCTGTGCGCCACCGTGAACGAGAATCCCTGAAGGATCTCGAGCCATTGGGACAACTGGCTAGACGGCTGGTCAATGTGCAGGGAATACTGGAGGGCCACATGGTCCGTGCTACAAAGTCCCGTCCGTACAATATAAGGACGAGAGAGCTGAATGAAATGGACCATGATGCAATAGCTCTGCTCAGCAGGAGACAGCACTCAACTGCCGTAAGCATCCACTCTCTCCGTTCCCTCGATAAGCTGGGAAAGGACCGCCCCGATGCCCGTATCGCTGGCGTCAGTGTCCAAAACTAAGGGCTTAGTGAAATCGGGGTACGCGAGCGAGGGGCAGTGCAGAGGGCGAGGAAGGAATCCTCTTCAGCCTTATCCCACCAAAATCTCTGGCCCTTGGCCGTGAGGGCATGCAGCGGTTTAGCAATGGTAGCAAAATCTTTAATGAACCGCCAGTACTAAGAAGTGAATCCAAAGAAACTGCAGATGTCTGCCACTGATTTAGGCGCCTGCCATGTGCGCACACACAAAGTCTTTTCTGGATCTGTGGCGACACCGGCCGAACTAACTACATGCCCAAGTACTTAACCGACATCTGAAGCAAATGGCATTTCTGTGGGTTGAATTTCAATTTGGCAGCACGCACTCTCTCGAAGACCGAGCGCAATCGCTGAAAATGTTCATAAAAAGTTTTGCTAAAGACAATGACGTCATCTAAATATATGAGACAAGAATCCCATTCCAACCCTGCTAGGACCAACTTTATTAATCGCTGAAGGGTGGCCGGCACTGAATTCCATCCCATCGGAAGGAAATTGAAGTGATAAAGTCCTTGGGGTGTACGAAAAGCAGTTTTTGGTTTTGGCTCATCATCAAGGGGCAATTGCCAAATCCAGATAATAAATTGAGTGTCGAAAAGAATTGTACGCCCGACAATGCATCGAGTGAGTCATCCATACGAGGTAGAGGGTACACATCCGCCACCGATATTTGATTTTATTTGCGAAAGTAAACGCAAAATCTCTAATTTCCATCACGCTTCTTGACTAGGACAATGGGTGCTCCCCACGGGCTGTTCGACGGAGCGATGTCTGCTGCTAGCATCTCGTCAACAGCCAGGCGCACCTGCTCCTCCGCGGGGCTGAACCTATGCGAATTAATTCGAATTGGAGGTGCATCACCCGTATTCATGTGATGGAGGAGGGAAGTGCGCCCAATATCAAATTTTCCAGTGCTAAAGACGTCAAAAGCCGGCGTAGATGAGCTCGCTGCACTACCATAAGTGCAGGGTTCTCAGAGCACAGGGATTCCAACCACGCGGAATCCGGCTCGTCAGAATTACCGACGTGTCCGACAACCAATAGAGCCAGCCCCGCATCATCAAGACAATGCGCTGCTGAAGCCTGTGCCAGGATCGTACCTGCCGAAATCACAACCGGCGCATCCCGCATTCAACACTTGCAGATACGTTGACTGCATGGCAGACACAACCGTCACAGCCCCCACTAATGAAGGGGACCGCGACACAACGTTAGATGGGGTTAACAGGATCCCCTCCTCTGGCCCCGGAGAAAGCAACTCTCTGCGCAAACACAGCGGCACGAGCATTGGAGCACCCGCAGGTATTTTAACGGTTTGGCTAGCCATCGCGTGAACGACGGCGTTCTGCGACGGCTGTCGACCAGGGGAATGCAGGAACTGCAACCGCTGCCTTGATGGTAATTCTATGCATCCCTGGTCGATTAGGATTTTCAAGGGTATCCTGCTCAGAAGGACACAGCCAATGTTCGTGACACCAAAATTTGACCCTCCAACAGTGGCTGACATTTGCGCCAGAATACCCAGGCTCTCCCCATTAGCCGCAACACAAGTGTTCTCCACGGGGGCAAGAGGATTGGATGACGAAAGCAACATGGCCTCGGAAGCCATAGTCGCAACGGCTCCCATGTCAACCAACAACCGAACTCGAATCCCTTGAATCAGCCCCTCAATTGTAGAAGAACCTGCCGCGGCGGCCACAACATAATGAGCTAGCACGTCCCACTGATCGGTGCCGTGTGGCCAACACATGAACGAACGCGCACCCAGTGTACAACTCGCTGCGATGTATCCCGCACAGCCGCATTTGTAGCATGTTCGGTAGGGGCGACCGGTCAGTTGGCGCAGCCTGGGGCGCCATTCCCGCACTTGCCGGAGCTGAGTGGCATCCCTCTCCTCCAACCCACGGTCAAAGGAGGCACCCCCGAGCGCGTCTGCGTCCGGCCCCGCCGGCCAGTCGTTGAGGTCAAGGTGTGTCTGCATGCCACGGGCCACTTGTAGAGAGGTGATGTTGTCGTCCTCTGTCACTGTGAAGGTGACCCCCAACTCCAGATCCACGGAGAGAAGTTGCTCCAAGGCAAGAGAGTCCAGGGCTTGGCTGTCCATTTTCGGAAAAAAAAGGTGCCCCAGAGCGAAGAGAGCACTGCGAAACGCCAACGGCGTCTTTTTCTCGCTCCATTGTCGCAGGCGGAATCTTCAACACTCATTCGACGGCCATCTCGGTGTAGGCGCGCATGAGGGTCGCTCTATCCACCTCAGGAATGGCGAAGAAGGCAGAAAGCGAGTCATCGTCGAGGGCTGTGGGAAGAGCTCCGAGCGCTTCACCAGGCATCCATCCCACCGAGACATAGGCAGCCTCGAACCGATGATGGAAGGCCATCCAATCGCCCTCCGCGGCGGCAGTCGTCGGCCGTCCTTGTACCTGACAGGCTGGCACCTGTCAGGCCATCAATCACTCCTTATCGCACGTCTTCAAGGCGACACCTCCGGTGGCAGCGTACGACCCCGGACCGACCTCGTCTGCAACTGAATCTCCCATTTAAGAGGTGGCGGTTTGCACGTGCAACTTTACGTTGCACAAGCGCACCTGCCTGCCAGCAGTGTGCACTGCATATTTTACCACACTACATTAAGAATAATTCTGCCTGTTTTTTTTTATAAGTTTGACCTGGATGTAGAGATGGGGCAAGGAAGTAGCCGTAAAATGTAATAAAATCCATATGGGGTGGCTAATGAGACTGGGAAATCTCCACCGGGGCAAAGGCTGCCATAAACACGGACAAACAGCAGGAGACACGACCTCCACGGACGTTGTGGGCATTGGGGAATTTCCCAAACATGACCCCCCAGACTCTCTGGCGCCTTGTCTTTGCATCCAGCCTCGTTCACGCCCTGTTTTTACATCGAGACTTGCTGACAGTCTTTACTTCACCCCCATTTGGATCTCCACGGACAGCGAGAGCAGCAGGGTCGGTCGGACATTGCAACTGGCGGTTTTCTTTTTAACGGTAAAAGTTCGAAACTTAGTGATAAGAATAAGTCGACATTATAGACTGCCAGTACACTCACTCAGATTAAGAACCAGGCTGCAGTCTACATTAGTGACTTGTATTATTATATATATTTTACTTTTTTTCACCTTAAATCTTTTTTTTCTATTTTCTATTTACGTGACTTTACCGAAAGAAACAAAGAATATGAATTATGTCAGTCACAAAAGTTAAAGTAAAAACTTACTTATATCTTCAACCTCTGGATATCAAAATATAACTCGAGCATAAGAAGCACGGATCCCTGGCGACACAGACAGGGAACAAAGGTTAATAAAACCCTCGGAATACCTGTGGTAACTATGGTATATTACAAATCTTGGTTAAACATAAACCAAATAATAATTATGAAGTATTAGACCTAGGGTCATTCAGAAGAGATACAAGGCGAAATAGGTCAATCAAACACGACCAAGATAATACGTATTCCATAGGATCAGAGCCTCACCAACCGCCTTTGTCTCATGCCGACTCAACAACACATGGTGGCAATAAATTACGTATGAAGGGAGGGCGCATTCCCTCGAGATAGCAAACACCATGAAGAAATTCCAACCACGAGAGAAGAGGGAGGGGGGGCCACAAACCAAAACATAAACATGGTGAAAAATTAATAAAAGTAAAATAAAAATCACGACGTTTTGGAGGCAACACAAGCTTCTGTCTTCAGATGGAATCGTCACAGCACGATTGCTGTATCAAGTAAGAGAAATTCCAAGAAAAACTGTCCTTGTATATATACTGGTTGAGGGTAGGAGGAGCTTGTGAAGTTGGTGCGGCTAAAGCCGCTGCGAGGAATGAGCCTTTGTTGTGTAGACTGGTTGAACTGGGAGGTTCCACGAGTTGTTAATGTGCGGCTGCTGTAAAGGTGCGGCTGCTGTAAATGGGACTGAGCCTTTGTTATGTAGATGAAACAGCACTTTGCCATGTTGCTGGGATTAATTCTTGATTTGCCAAATATGTGTGGTAAAACTTAAAGCAGAAAACCAGTGTGTGAAAAAAGAAGAAACTATATGGTAACTGAATAGTGCCTGTCAAATAAGATGGTCCAAATGTGTAGTTAAATCTTTTTTGCATGGTTAATAACATTTTTCCAATGATTACTAAGTTTGTACCCAGCATCACGGTTGAAATGATGTCTGTGTTTGTATATTTGGATGGCTTCGTGTACAAACCTTTGATGGTAGCCAGGTGGTTTGCAGAGTACCTCGGTCTCGGAAAAGACAATTTCATGAGAGCCCACAGCGTTGTAGCAATGATCAGCAACGGCGGAAGAAACAGTTTTAACGTGTTTCAGATCTGACTTGTGCTCGCGGACACGATCAGAGATATGACGTTTCGTTTCTCCAATGTAGCAATCACCACAGCTGCAACTCAGTTTGTAGACTCCAGTGTATTGTAAGTCAGGAATGACATCTTTCACAGATGGAATTAGATCACAGATTTTATGTACTGTACTGAATCGGACTTGGATCTTATGTTTGTTAAGAATTTTGGAGATCTTTTTGGTCATGCCTGCTATGTATGCCAACGTGATAGTTTTGATCGGAGTTTCAAGTGGCTGTTTCTGTATGGTGGGAGAAACAGCTTGGTGGATGGTGCGATCAGATTATCCGTTCATCCTGAGGGCCCGATGTACATGTCTTAATTCACTGGCCAGGTGGTGTTGGTCAGAAATGCCATGAGCTCTGTGGTATAGCGTTTTGATGAGATAATTATTTTGAGATGGGTGGTGGTGGGAATCAGGTTTCAAGTTGGAATATGTGTGGGTGGCTTTCCTGTAGACAGAATGTCCCAAGGATCCGTCAGGTCTCCTCTCAAACAGAATTTCTAATGGTAGTTTACCATCTTTCTCCACTTCCATGGTGAATCTGATGGATGGGTGTCTGGAATTGAAGTGGTCCAAGAAGTGGTTCAATGCTGGGAGGCCATGTGGCCAAATGACAAAAAGTGTCATCTACATACCTCTTCCACAGGGAAGGACGCAGGGTGGATGTCTGGATGGCGTCTGATTCAAACTTTTCCATGAACATGTTGGCCATCACTGGTGACAAGGGGGAGCCCATAGGGGTACCCTCATTCTGTTTGTAGAAGGTGTCATTCCAGGTAAAATAAGTGTTGGTGAGGCAATGCCTAACCAGCGCAGGTACATCCGAATTCAATCCATGTTGGACCAAGTCCTCAATTATTATTAGGGTGTTGGTAAACAGAGATACTACATCAAAACTGACGAGGATATCATCAGGAGATAGTACCATGTCCTTGACCATAGAGACTAATTGGGTTGAGTTGAGTACTGCCGAAGAGGTCTTGCCTGTGAAGGGAAGCAGAGTATCTGATAGAAACCGGGCTAGTTTGTAGGAAGGAAAGTTGATCGTCGACACGATGGGTCGTAGTGGGGTGCCTTCTTTATGGATCTTGGGAAGACCATAGAGAGAGGGACGTTTGGATGGTCCGATTAGGGAAGTCGAACTCGTGATGATTTTGTTAGTTTTTGTTGTTAGGCTGTTAGTAGGATCGTTTTTAATTTTGGAGTAACTCCCATCATTAAGTAGGTCCAGGATTTTATTGTTGTATGAATCTTTATCCATTATGACCATGGCATTGCCCTTGTCTGCTTTAGCCGCACCAACTTCACAAGCTCCTCCCACCCTCAACCAGTATATATACAAGGACGGGTTTTCTTGGAATTTATCTTACTTGATACAGCAATCGTGCTGTGACGGTTCCACCTGAAGACGGAAGCTTGTGTTGCCTCTGAAACGTCGTGATTTTTATTTTATTCTTGTTAATTTAAATTTTAAATGTTTTACCTACGTGACTTTTCTGACAAAAAAACCCCTAAGAATATGAATCCTTGCAGTCACGAAAGCTTCAAATCTAGTATAAACATGGTGATGGAAAAGCAGCCGGACAAAGGTGAAAAGTAACCCCCCCCCCCCCAGCTTCAAAATTATGGCAGGAAATTGGGAAAACCAGCCGCTCTACTCGGGAGGGGGGGGCAACCAAGCAGCTGCAACCACAGGAAAACTAAATCAAAGGGATTCCATTTTATTTTCCAAGAGAGACGCACAGAGGGAGAAGAATTTCAAATAAAAGCAAGAAAACAGAACACGCAATTGAGTCTTGCTGCGGCAAGCTCCGGGGGTGTGCCCCGTCAACGACCGAGGATGACGAGGCTTGCAGAGGGCCGATGTGTCGCCGAGTGTAAGTTGGGCGCTGACAGATTAAGTATCGCTAAAAGTTTTATTCTACATTGAGTGACAGCTCCACCAGCAGCTGCAGCAAGAGATAAAGAGAAAGAGTGATGAGCAACAACAAGCAATCAACCTGGAGAAAGGGCATAAAGTGATACGCATTGACCAAGCGAGCATCGCACAGGACCAGCAGCAGCGGCTAACGACTAACCATGAGCGTGCGGACTCGGAAGCCGAGCACATTCCTGCAAAGGTTGAGTCTACAAGGATCAACCGTGCCTGTTGCAAAAGAGAGTGCCTGACCGGCGCAACCGAGAAAGAGTGTCAGCGCTGGCGACCAGCAGACGAGCTGCGAGCGCTATCAGGCACTGCCGAAGACGAGCATCATGCCGACTCAACAATCACCTAGCAGTAGAGAAAAGAGTGTGACCAGCGCAACCGAGAAAGAGAGTCAGCACTGGCGACCAGCGGATGAGCTGCAAGTGCTATCGGGCACCGTCAAAGGCAATCATCGTGCCGACTCATCAATCATCCAGCAGTGGAGAAGCCTGGAGCTGCCACCAAGAGAGAGAGCGCCGTGTGTATGACACGCCTCGGTTAGGAGGGAACCGAACCGAGCTATTCTCGGTACAAGGAAAGCCCCACCTCGGCGCGAGCTTAACTCAAAGAGTTGAGCACGAAGACAATACACCCACACACACATAATACACATGTAATAAAGGACTCTCTCTCAGATGTCGATCTCCGTTGTCCTTTATTGGGTTCGTAGAATCTCGTTACCACGGCGTCCTCGCTCAGGCCCGTGTCCCTCCCGACGATCTCTCCACAGCCACTCGGCTGCTCCGATATGCAGTCTCCCTGCTGCTCCAATATGCAGTCTCCCTGCTGCTCCGTTAGGCAGTCTCCCTGCTGCTCCACCTTGCAGCCACACCGCTGCTCCGCTATCTAGCTTCACTGCTGCCCCGTATACAGCTAGCCTCCCACAGCTGCTAGCTCTCTGCGTCTGACACCGATGGCTGACGGTGTCGACGTCTCCCACCGCTTGGCGACCGCGCCACTCTCTCCGTCCTGCCCAGCGTGGCCTCCTCCTGTTTCACTCCATCTCAACTTCCCTTTCCCCTTCCGGTTCTCCCCCTAAATCTTCTCTCCCACGTGACCCTAACTCCACCCACTCCCCACGTGACCCAGACTCCGCCCCCCCTGAATCCTTGCTCGCATTACACGACCCCCCCCCCCCCTAATGAAAACGCAGCCTTCCCTGGCTGCAATAAATATAATAAAATAATGCGAGCAACATTGTAACCATCTGGCATCAATGGACAACGGAGAATATAACAACGATAACAAGAACCACAAGAACAATCAACGAAAGGAAAGGGATTTGAAACGCGTGCGGGTCGCCGGCCCGTCACGAACGGGCGGCGGTCCCCCCATAGACCGAGAACGCGATGGGGTTTTAAGATCGACGGGAGTAGAACCGCCCGCCGCTGTTGGAGGCCCGTCAACGCCAAGGTCCCGTTCCCCAGAGAGACCCAAGTCCGGGGTCTCTGGCAACCGTGTCTGTGATGGGGTTGGAGGGGCAGCGGGGTCAAGTGGCCCCGTCACCGTGGTAGGCCCACCCAGAGCAGGATTCGCCACATCCACCTGCGTCACGGCTGGTTCGTCTGTAGAAGGCACGACAGGCGCACTTGCAGAGTCAACCGGCAAGGGCAGAGGTGCGTCGGGTGCAACAGACACCGGCAAGGCAACATCAGGGGATGACGCATCCGTCCGCGGGGCCACGTAGGGCTTCAACCTAGACGTATGAACGTACCAGCGCCGCGATCCGAACTGAACCCGTGCGGATTGCGGGTTAGGGACTTCAATAAGCTTAACCGGCCCCTGCCATGGTTTGTGAAGCTTAGGGGAGGTCCCCGGCCGCACCTGCGGGCAGTGCAGCCATGCCTTGTCCCCCACTCGCCAGGGGCATGTACCGGTCGAGCGCCGGGCGCAACGCTCGTTTCGCGCCTGAGTCTTGGCAGTAGCCAATCTGGCCCCCTCCCGTGCCTCGGCGACGCATCGAACAGTGTCCTGAATGTATTCGGGGAGGTTTTACAGGACCCTTCGCCCCCGTACCCAGCTGTACTTCCACCGGCGGCACATTCTCGCGGCCGTACATTAGAAAAAATGGAGAATACCCTGTGGACGCATGAGGCGTCATCCGATACGCGGAGAGTACCCCAGGTATATGCAAGTCCCAATCAGCTTGTTTCTCGTCAACCGTGTGACATAGCATGGCCGACAGCGTCCGATTAAGCCGTTCCACCATGCCATCCGTCTGCGGGTGGTAAGGAGACGTACGAACCTTCTTGGGTCCCAGAGCAGCGCACACTTCCGCCAACAATTTGGAAGAAAAATTTCGCCCCTGATCCGTGAGTAGCCTCTCCGGCGCCCCTTTGTCCAGCACACATCCAAATAGGAAGGCATCCGTGATAGACGCCGCCGACTGGTCGGGTAAGGGCCAAGCCATCAGCCAACGGGAAAGATATTCCACCCCGACCAGCAAATATTTATTACCCCTAGCGGATGGCGGGAAAGGTCCCAAAATATCCAGCGCCACCAACTCGTTGATTCGAGACACCTGTATAGACTGCACCGGCGTCACGTAAGGGTTTTTAGGCGGCTTCCGCCGGGCACACTCGGGACACGCCCGAATGTGTCCGACGACATCCGTCGTCATGCCGTGCCAAAAGTAGTCTCGCTGCAATGTTAACAAAGTCTTCTGCACCCCGAGATGTAATAAAGTGTCGCCGTGCAGAGTCCGAATCAATTTGTACCGTAACGACGACGGTACTACCAGACACCAGCGGTCATGCAATCCCTCCCTCCACATGAGCAAACCATTCCGGAGAGCGGCCCCCGGCATCCCACCGGACAGCAATCTCCCCGCTCCCTTCGCAGCCCGACTCCGTAAAGCCCCCAACGAGTCGTCAAGCAATTATTCGCGAATCCATACCGAGCGCGGCAGGTTCAGAACCCCATCGGCCGGTCCTGGGCACACCGGAGCCCCAGGCACCTCGACAGCTGACACGACAGGCCGAGGGGGTAGCTGAACCGGCATACACCTATTCGTACCTGACGCGCAAGCGCAAGGGGACCCCTGCGGTAATCTGGAGAGTGCGTCCGCATTCGCGTGACGTGACCCCTTCCGATATTGTATGTCGAAAGAAAATTCCTGCAGGGTCTCCAACCATCGTGCCAGTTTGCCAGATGGTTGGTCAACCCTCAGGGCATATTGCAGAGCCGAATGGTCCGTGCGCACAATAAACGACCGGCCGTAAAGATACGGCCGATATTGGCGGAGAAAATAGACAATAGCCAATAGTTCGCGGCGAGTAACGCAGTAGCGGGTTTCTGCCGGGGACAGTACACGGCTACCATAGGCTACCACGCGTTCCACGCCGCCCTTGGACTGTGGCAGAACGGCCCTGATCCCAGTGTCACTAGCGTCCGTATCCAGAATAAAAGGTCGATCAAAATCCGGATAGTGCAATGTCGGCGCCGTCGCCAACCGATCGCGTAGGCCCTCAAACGCCGCTTCCTCCGGCGGACCCCAACTAAACCTCCGACCATTACCCGTAAGGAGGTGCAAGGGCCTAGCGATCATAGCAAAGTTCGGAACGAACCTGTGATAGTATGAGGCGAACCCCAGGAAGCGACGTACGTCCCCAACCGAGGCCGGGGTTGGCCAGTTGCGGATGCACGCCGTCTTCTCCGGGTCCGTGGCCACCCCGTCCGCACTGACTATGTGTCCCAAATAACGCACGGATCGTTGCAGTAGGTGACACTTTTTCGGTTTGAATTTTAAATTGGCGGAGCGCATCCTAGCAAAACCCGTCTCCAATCTCTGCAAATGTTCGTCAAATGTGCGGCTAAAGACGATGACATCGTCTAAATAAATCAAACATGTCTCCCACTGCAGACCTGTTAACACCAGCTCCATCAACCACTGAAAAGTGGCAGGGGCCGCATTCAAGCCCATCGGAAGGCAATTAAACTGAAACAGTCCCTGCGGCGTACGGAAAGCCGTCTTTTCCCTCGAGGACTCGTCGAGGGGAAGCTGCCAGAATCCCAAAGAGAGATCCAGCGTTGAAAAAAAACTTCGCCCCAGACAAGGCATCGAGGGAATCATCCATAGACGGCAGGGGGTACGCGTCTGCGACGGACACCTTGTTCAATTTTCGAAAATCGACGCAAAATCGCAGTTTCCCATCCTTCTTCTTCACAAGGACTACCGGCGCGCCCCATGGACTGTTAGACGGGGATATTACGTCAGCGGCCAGCATGTCCTCCACTGCACCGCGAACCTGATCCCGCTCCGTCGGGCTCAACCGATGAGAGTTCAACCGAATCGGAGCGGCATCCCCTGTATCAATGTGGTGGGAAAGCAGGGAGGTGCGTCCCAAGTCAAAATCATCCGAGCTGAACACGTCAGAATAACTTAGCAACAGCGCGCGAAGCGCAAACCGTTGTTCTCCGGTCAGGGATGAATTCTCCCAGCATAACTCGGCAACCCAACGGTCATCCTGCCCCGTAGGCCCTGAAACCCCCCCTACCATGTCCCGGCGGGCCCGGTTGTCATGGGCCGTGAACGCGGTCGTGGCGTGAGCCAAAACCGTTCTGGCCGGGACACTGACATTCTCCGCACTCCCATTTAGCACCTGTAAGAACGGGGGCTGGCCCGGCTGGACAATCGTTTGTGCCCCAACCAGCGCCGAGCCGCCCGTTATAGCCGTGGACGGCGATAACAGAACCCCCGCTACTCCCTCAACGCCAGGTACTGGCTTCCAATATCTCAACGGGATAAGCATCTGCGAACCAGGTGGAATGTCAACAGATACTTCGGACAGCGCCTGCACCTGGCAAACAGGGGCAGGCCGGCCCCATGGCGACGGTAGGAACGACATTTTCCACCCCCCTGGTAATTCAATGCAATTTTGATCAACCCTTATTTGAATGGGCATTTTTGCCAGGAAATCAGTCCCCAACAAACAGGGAACCTTGAGGGACCCAGAGATCAAAACGGTCCCTGAAGCCGACACCCCCCCAATCGATATGTTGGCGTCCACCTGGCCCACAATGCCCATACTTCCCCCGTTCGCCGCTATGCATGAATTATAAACCGCTCGCACTCTCCCTGGCGGAATGCCCAAAAGATGGAAAATGACATCCGAAATAATGGTCGCGGACGCACCGCATTCCACCAAAATATGCACCTCGACCCCCTGAATAGAACCCGGTACCGTGGACGACCCCGTAGCGGCCGCAACTACCCTCCGTGCCAATCGGCGACATTGCGTCAGCGAGCGACACGGGTCAATCGGAGGCACCTCGTTGTTAACGACACACGGACCGCGCGGCGATGGTGATGCATGAGGTGACAGGCCTTGCCGGGTGTCTGATGCGCAACGACTTGCCTGTCCTGGCTGGTCTTTTCGCGCGACGTCCGTGGTCGAGGCCTCCTGCTGGGGCGGCCCCGGGATGCGAGCCCAACAGTCCCTGGCAAAGTGGCCCTTACAGCCGCAGCGGAAACACTCCACGTCGTTCCGACGCGCGGCACCCCCACTGTCCCGACGCTCCCTCGCCGGCGGGCCGGACCTCGGCCCTGTTCCCCCCCGAGCAGGCCACTGGGCGGAGGCGGCCGTTAACTCCTGCGGACCCTTGTCGTCAGGAACGTAGACCGCCTTCTTAGGATCCCACCCCGTAGCACCGCCTTCAACGATGGGGCCCCCCGTCCAAGCTGACACCTGCTTCCAGCGTCGGAAATTAAATTGAGCGTCCAAGCACTTAGCCGCAGCACGGGACGTCAATTTATCATGGCTGCACACCGGCATGGGGATCCCCAGGTCTCTAGACAATTCCAGCATCTTGCCCAACACAAGGGGCTCCAACAAATCCGGCTCCGTCTCGGGGTATGCTGCCATCGCCAGTTCCAGAACTGCGCCTCTGAAAGCCACCGGCGATTCATCAGGTGCCCGTTGGCGCTGAACAAATCTACGAAAGGGCATCGTCCAGAGGCTCGTACGCATCCGCCATTTCCTCGAAGACACCCTGCAGCGTCTTTTTCTTGTCGGCCTTGATGGAGCGGACCGGACGGACTCGTCGTCGAGAAGTGTTGGTAAGACTTCCAGGGCCTCCGCGTCCGTCCATTTGGCGGAGCGTACGGCCGCTTGAAAACGGCAGGCGAATGCGCTCCAATCGCCGCCGATGGAGAATTTTTTGACCGTTGTTAAATGACGGCTGCGGGTTCTTGCTCCGCTGTCCTCCGCCGATGGTGACTCACGCGGCAGCGACAAGATGGCGTCACTCCGCAACGTGTGCAAGATGGCGGCTTCCCGCGGCGGAGGGCGCAAGATGGCGGCTTCCCGCCGTTCCTCCTCGGCCATGCCCAAGATGGCGTCTTCTTGCCGCGTGGTCGAGAGGGCTGATGGTGACGGCTAGGCCCCGGCCAGTTGTTCCCCTCCGAGCCTTCCCCTAAGTCTTCGCCGGCGTCACAAGGTCGCACAACTGCGCCAACACCGTCTTCAGCGCCTCCAGTTGCGCCGCCACCTGTCACCATCCGTCCCCAGCGTCCAGTCGCGCGGATGGGCCCACCGAGGCGGCCACGTCCTGCACGCCCGGACCCCCGCTCGTCCCCGCGCCGCTTTCCTCCTCCATCGTCGGTAGCGCCACCGCTGGAGGGAGGTCGTCGTCAGAAGATGCTGCAGAAGATGGTGCATGGACGGTCTTCCTCCTGAGCTGTTTTGACATGCCGTTTCACTTCTGACACCAATGTAATAAAGGACTCTCTCTCAGATGTCGATCTCCGTTGTCCTTTATTGGGTTCGTAGAATCTCGTTACCACGGCGTCCTCGCTCAGGCCCGTGTCCCTCCCGACAATCTCTCCACAGCCACTCGGCTGCTCCGATATGCAGTCTCCCTGCTGCTCCGATATGCAGTCTCCCTGCTGCTCCACCTTGCAGCCACACCACTGCTCCGCTATCTAGCTTCACTGCTGCCCCGTATACAGCTAGCCTCCCACAGCTGCTAGCTCTCTGCGTCTGACACCGATGGCTGACGGTGTCGACGTCTCCCACCGCGTGGCGACCACGCCACTCTCTCCGTCCTGCCCAGCGTGGCCTCCTCCTGTTTCAATCCATCTCAACTTCCCTTTCCCCTTCCGGTTCTCCCCCTAAATCCTCTCTCCTACGTGACCCTAACTCCACCCACTCCCCACGTGACCCAGACTCCGCCCCCCCTCAACCCTTGCTCGCATTACACACATATCGGGACTAATAAGATTGCTCCAAAAGTTAGCTTTGTTTTTTAAAAAGGACCATCCTAAGGTGGTGCGTTAACTATTAGCTGATGGTGGAAAACATTGTTCGGTCCATTGAGCTGCTTCAATATGGTCGTATATAAGTATTTGTCATTCGGTTCGTTAATTGCACTCACAGGAATACAATTGTGTTGGGATTTCTTTCTTTTGATCACGGAATCTTGCCCGCGAATCAATTCAAGCCCATTAGCCAATTGATAAGCATCTATTAAGCAAACAGGCACACTGCCGCACACTACTGTTCCAGGGCATTTCGATCAATTGCATCATCTTACCAATAAATTCATTGAAAACTACTTTTGCCTTGGGCAAACGTAGAAGAGAAATAATAAAATAATCAAACATAATAAAATACAATTCTCACGACGTTTCGGCCACAACGCAAGCAGCCGTCCTCAGGTGAAGAACAGGTCTGTCAGAAAGACAGCGTCTGAATGAACACCACCAAGCTTGGCAGCGTATATTTAAGCTGGGTTAGAGGAGGAAGGGTGCCTTGACAAAGGATTACCTTAGAGTTGCGGCATCTCTTCAGAAAGGTGAGAGACTCAATTAGCTGAGCCTTCTTATCCCAGAGTTTGTTGAAGGATCTCAAAGTTATGTGGAATCCCTCCCCATAGAGGCGGTTAAATTTCGATTTAAAGCTTTCGTGACTGCAGGGATTCATCTTCTTGGTTCTTTCGTTTAAGGCACGTAGAAGGGAAATAATAAAATAATTAAAATAACACGTAATAAAATACAATTATCACGACGTTTCGGTCACAACGCAAGCAGCCGTCCTCAGGTGAAGAACAGGTCTGTCGGAAAGACAGCATCTGAATGAACACCACCTACCGGCATGTATGGTCGCTTTACTGTGAGGAATTAGCTGATTGTTCTGTTATCCAGTTAACAAACGTAACCATGGAGGGTTAATTGCACGGATCAATTAGGACATTTCCAGGAGTACTGGGTTGACAATTCCTAGCGTAAGAGTTTGCATATTAGAGTGTTTTGTTTTTAGATATTAAAGTTGCTTAACGCAGAAGAGTCAGTGTCCCTTCCTAAGTTCATGCGTAATAATCATAATTATAAGAACTGTATCCTGAGGTGAGATCTGAATTTTGAGACCTGACAAACACACTAAACCAATCAGTAAAGTTCAAGTGAGAATCAATGTATTATATTCTTTAGGTCTTTCGGGAAAGTCACGTTGATAGGTTCAAAGAAAATAACAAAAACCTTTTTAAGTGACTTTTCCGAAAGACCCAAAGAATATGAATTCCTGCAGTCACGAAAGCTTTAAGTCAATCAAATAGGCAATGAAGCAGAGCCGAATTAGCATAATTACATACACTTGCATAACTTCATACAATTACACCTTTATATTATCATCACGATTAGTAATACCCCTAGGCAACGAAGCAGAGGCTAATTAGCATACACGCATAATTAGCATAATTTAAAAAAATACGCATTTTCAGTTTTCATTTAATTTTTATTATTTTTTAAGACCGAATATATATGTAGTGGCCTTTATGACGACGGAGAGAGTTGACTTGAGACAACACGGATTTATTACAGATAACTTCATATAGCAGAGTAGCGACCCTGACACTCGAAGAGGTAGCGGCCTCTTCACCCGTTCTATTGAGGGAAGTTTCCCCCAAGTTAACACCCCACGTTAACTCCCTACTTCCCTCAATTCTAGACCTCCTTCACAAGGAGGCTAACTGACCTGGCCCAGCTTCGGCACAGGTCTCGACCACCAGCCACATGAGTCCAGCCCTTAGAAGGACATCGGCCCTCGCGGCTCTGGGGTCGCACCACTGGCTTGCTCTGCCCGGCAGCGGGTGAGAGTAGTCCCAGGGTCTAGCTAGCTGGATTTCAGTCTTCACTGGCTCTTCGTCTTGACTTGAGTCGAACTGCCTCTCTGCTTCTAGATTTGAAGCTTTCGTGACTGCAAGGATTCATACTCTTAGGTTTTTTTTTCGGTAAATTCACGTAAGTAAAAAAATAATAATAATAAAAGAAAATAATACTAAAAATAGAATAATAGAAATAAAAGAATAAATCAAGTTACGTGACTTTACCAAAAAAAACCCAAGAGTATGCCTCTCTGCTCTCCGGGTCCCACCTTTGATACGATTTCCCACCGAGGGGCAGGTTTCTGTGGGATCACACAGACCCCCAAGCCCCCTCCCCTCAGGAAGCCTGGTCAGAAATGACACAATCACCCGCACCGGTAAGTATTGTAAGTCGGCCGGTTTGGTGTGTGCGTGCTCCAACATCACCACCACCACCACATATACAACACTTGGGAGCTGATTGGCTCTTGCTCCTAGTGAATCATCTAGCCAACCCACAGGTCCACAAATACTCGCCACTCTTACTCTGCAGGTTGAACCCAGGAATTGAGTGTTCGACTTCACGTTCATTTTCATTAAAGGCCTGTGACAAAGGTGAATCTATTGAAGCTTCATTGTCTCAACCCAACCCATCTACAGGGTCTTCATTTGACTTTGTATTGTCTAAGAAGTCCACCCACACCTCCACTTCCACAAACTGCTGGGAGGTGCCTCACTCTGACTCACAGTCAGAATTCTCCTCCTGCTTCACGTTGCCTCCATCGATGTGAAGGTCCGATTTTTGAGTTGAATCTTCATCTTCACAGTTTGCTGTCACTTTTTCGCTCTTCACCACCACTTTTTCACATTTCACCTTCACTTCTTCGCTCTTCATCACTTCTTCACATTTCACCTTCGCCGCTTCACATTTCACCTTGATACCTTTAAAAGTGTCCATGCTGGGATTTAGTTCTGGTTTCATGAGGGATGGACTCATTGCAGCACTTTGACTTTTACAAGCTGATTTCAGACTCCACTCCTTGGGAATAGTCTGATGCTTGTATGTCCTCTGGTGTATTTTAAGATTTGATAAACCTGCAAACGCCTTCCCGCACACAGTGCACCTGAAGGGTTTCTCTCCCGTGTGTGTTCTCTGGTGTAATACAAGACTAGATGACTGTGAAAACGCCTTCCCGCACAGACTGCACTTGAAGGGTTTCTCTCCTGTGTGTGTTCTCTGGTGTAATAAAATACCAGATGACTGTGAAAACGCCTTCCCGCACAAAGTGCACCTGAAGGGTTTCTCTCCCGTGTGTGTTCTTTGGTGTAATACAAGACCAGATGACTGTGAAAACGCCTTCCCACACACACTGCACTTGAAGGGTTTCTCTCCCGTGTGTGTTCTCTGGTGTATTTGAAGATGTGATGATTGTGCAAACGCCTTCCCGCACAGAGTGCACCTGAAAAGTTTATCTCCTGTGTGTGTTCTCTGGTGGCATTGAAGACCTGATGACCATGCAAATGACTTTTCACACACAGTGCACTTGAAGGGTTTCTCTCCTGTGTGAGTTCTCTGGTGCCGTGTCAAATGTCCAGAACGATCCGTGCTGTATGCACACTGGTCGCATTGTTGCCTTTTTGTACCGAGCTGCGCTGAGCACCTTTCCTCCATCAGACCAATTCTGCAGAGGAAGCGTCAGCTGCAGACAGAAAAAAGAGAATATCCACACCATCTACGTCAGTATCGAGGCACAGAGGAATGCATATATACACAGTCACACATAACTTACATGTCTATACTTATTCATGTTCATGATATAGTGAAAAATATTCCCAAATTCATCACACGGGCTGTTATGACGAAACAATGAGAGGGCAAATGGTCATAAATATGCCTGGAAGCCCTAGTATCTTCAAAATGAATGTTAACCCAAAACTCCAATGACACAATTTCGGTTGTCTGGCTAGAAAAGGAACATTTATGAAAAGCAAAATTCAGCTAACAAAGCAAAGGGTGTTGAAATAATACTGTTTGAACTATGCAGAAATACATACATTAATGTTCAATCGCAACTTAGAGGTGTGAAGCCAGGCTCAGATTTCCTTGAATGCTGGGATAAACAGACCAAATTCAGCTGCATATGTGCTGTTGTTGTTCAACCTGAAGAAACCTTCGTCTACGTTCCACCAAGTCTCCAACACTTGGAACTGGACCCGAGCTGTGGTCCCGGTCCGTCGTAGTTAGTTACATTGTAATTAGTGTAGTTAACCTGGTGGTCACCACCATAGGTTGTTATTCTGTTAAGGGGCAGTTTCCTCATGTGTTGGTGTTAAATGTGTTGCCTCCAAGTGTATGTCTGCGACTCAGTTGAACTCACTACACATAGTGTAGTGATCACTTGTCAGCAGGTCATGGGAATGATCCAGGTGTCAAGGGATGACTGACTGAGATGATCAACAAATGCACCAGCTGTGCTTCCTGCTGTCTTGCTGCATTTTAGGCACCCAGCGTTCCACCCATTCATGTGCACGTTGATACTAGGACCTCACTGTTGTTGCAGAGCAAATATCTCGACCTGCCCTGCAGCATATATCACGGGCCTCCTCCACAGAGGCCGACCTTGACACTCCTGGTACCAGTCATCAGCAGGTCTGATCACCTCCACATCCTCCAATCTATTCTCTAGCCAATGCCTTGCCTGTTTAGCCTGTAACATCTGGAGTAACAGAAGATGTTTCTTCTTGGTTCTTTCGGTAAAGTCACGTAGAAGGGAAATAATAAAACAATAAAAATAAAACATAATAAAATACAATACGTTTTATTTTTATTATTGTATTATTTCCCTTCTACGTGACTTTACCAAAAGAACCAAGAAGATGAATCCCTGCAGTCACGAAAGCTTTAAATCGAAATTTAACAGAAGATGCTTGAGCATGTTGTCTGTTTATGTGGGATTCATGACCCAACCAATGCAGCCTCGCCTGCCAAAGAGACTCATTGATTATATTCTGTACTGATATTTTAATGATCTGCAAGGTTCTAATACAATCTTGTTTGGTTCAATAGAGAGGATTATAGGTAGGCCAGCCTTAATTAGAAGTCAGAACAGACGGTCCTTAAAATAAGTAAAATATTTTGCATCCACAGAGAAGGGAGAAATAAATGTGGCCAAGAAGACTCGCAGCTTTGTTCGTTAATTTATTTCTAAATCCTCTCGTCTTAGTTGAGGATTGTGGCGGCAGCACATTGAAGAGGGCAGTCCAGACCTCCCTTTCCCTGGCAACAGACTCTAGCTCTTCCTGGGGAATTCCCAGGCGTTCCCAAGCCAGCCAAGCGACATATTCCCACCAGCATGTCCAAGGGCCAGGCCCCGGGGACTTCCCAGAGTGGGACGTGCGCAGTAGAGTTCCAGGGGCAGTCTATTGGGGGGCCTCCTCACAGATATTCTATATTGATATCATTCATGGTACGAGGCCTGGTAGCTAGGTGACCCATGTAATCCATTTAGGCCCAGCCTGAAATGGCTACGTGGGAGCTCCTCCACCACTTATAGAACTGCCTGATTACTCATGGAGAGTTGAGCAGGTACAGTGTTGTGTGACATGAAATTCTCTCAAGGGCCTGGGTCACATCGCTGCTGACGGAGGAAGATCTGAAATCGCTGCAACCCTCAAAAACGCTAAGATGCCAGCTAGCAACATTAGCAAAGATGAGCGTTTTGAATTAGCTCAATTAATAAAGAGGGATGACATTGTCATCCTCTCAGCCGACAAAGGCAATGCCACTGTCATCATGGACAAAATAGAATACAACAACAAAATTCAAGAACTACTCAACCCACCAACAGCCTCGTCATTAAAACAACAAAATCATTTCTGATTCAACCGCATTAATTGATCAAACCAAACAGTTCCCGTTGAAACCTTCCGCAGCCAGGCCACCAAGATTATATGGCTTGCCAAAGATACATAAAGAAGATACACCTCTTCGTCCCATTGTCTCTACTATCAACTCCCCCACCTACAAACTGGCTCGTTTTTTGTCTGAAATCCTGCGGCCTTTCACTGGAAAAACCACCTCTGCGGTACAAAACTCTACTGACCTGGTATCGACAATCAAGGGAATTTCCCTGTCCCCAGATGACCTGCTTGTCAGTTTTGATGTGGTTTCCTTATTCACCAAAGTTCCTATACCTGACACCATCGCAATCATTGAAGACTTTGTTCATCAAGGACTGAATACTGGGGTACCCCCCTGGTGAGACACTGCTTAACCAATACATACTTCACCTGGAATGGAACTTTCTACAAACAAACTGAGGGCACCCCAATGGGCTCCCCCCTATCTCCGGTTGTAGCCAACGTTTTCATGGAGAAATTTGAGACTGACGCCATCCAGACTGCCACTCAACGCCCGACCTTATGGAAGAGGTACGTAGATGACAATTTTGTCATCTGGCCACATGGCCGGCCTCCTCTAGACCAATTCCTTGACCACATCAATTCCATACACCCAGCCATCAGATTCACCATGGAAGTCGAAAAAGATGGCAAGCTACCCTTTTTGGATGTCCTAATTGAAATGAGACCTTATGGTTCAATGAGCCACTCTGTCTACAGGAAAGCCACCCATACAGATGCTTACCTAAAACCGGATTCCCACCACCATCCATCCCAGAAGAATTCCCTCATCAAGACTCTATACCATAGAGCCCAATGCATCTCCGACCAGGAACACATTGCCAGTGAACTCAAACACGTACGCCAAGCTCTTAAGGCTAATGGTTACTCCGACTACACAATCCGCAAAGCCATCACCCCAACCATCAAGAAGGATCCTGTTGAGGAGCCTTTCAAAACCATCACCTTACCCTACATTGCTGGGGTCACAAAAAAGATCTCCAAAATCCTGATTAAACACAAGATCCAGGTCCGATTCAACACAGTACATAAAATCCGTGATCTGGTCCCGTCTGTAAAAGATGTGGTTCCAGACATACAGTACCCTGGCGTCTACAAACTAAGTTGCCTCTGTGGTAGCAGTTACATTGGAGAAACCAAACGACATGTCTCGGACCGCATCCGTGAACATAAAGCAGACTTGAAACACGGTAGGACAAACACCTCCGCCGTGGCAGATCACTGTTACAATTCAGTGGGCTCACATGATATTGACTTCTCCAAGACAAAGGTTCTCTGTAAGCCATCTGGCTACCATGAGAGATTCGTTCATGAGGCGATCCACATATACAAACACAGAGACAATTTCAACCGAGAAGATGGATTCTGGCTCAGCAATCATTGGAAGGACGTATTAACCATTTCGGATCTTAACTGATTGTGTTCATGTTTACGGTGAATTTCAGACCGCAGTCCACTCACTGGCATTGAAAATATATCTTGTATTCTCCGCAGGGAATGGATTTTTGCTCCGCTGCAAGTCTCATACCATCACTCTCCCGTTGACATATTTCGTTGCTTCCTCTTAGTATCTTTCACGCGACGGTCAATGGTATAGTGTATAGCGGATTGCATAATAATAAATAGTATACAATTGTAATGATTAATACAATGTATAAGGTAATATATAGTATCGTAATTGTATAGTGAATATACAGCAGTGTGATATACAGTAGGGTGGGTAGAATAATACATAGTGTAATATTACAATGTATAAGGTATAGGGTGGTGTATAGTAATACAGTATATAATTTAATGTTGGGTTTGTCTATGGCAGTATATAGTATGGGGTAGACCCGTGTGATGTAAGAGAATACAGTTTAGCTGGAAGCATATTATATTTTTTGCGACATAGAATTGTAATGTATTACTTACTGTTAGTAGCTTAGCTTATTGGAGAGTATATTTAGTATACTGATGATACTATGTAATTTATACTTTAGTTTTTTACGTGGTGGTTCAGTTACTGCAGCTACATACTATTAACATTCCTTCCCTTTATTAATGCTACCCCTATCCCCTCCCTTTGATGCTGCTAATCCTGCATAATGCACGGGCATAATATGACTTTGAAACCACCCCGCCCACCTCCTACGCAATTCACAAGTAGTACTAAACCCATATCTGCATTTCCTATAAATATGTTAAATTCCTCTTGATATGCAAATTATTTTGTCAAGGCGCTCTTCCCCCTCCAACCCAGCTTAAATATACGCTCCAAGCCTGGGGTGTTTCATTCAGACTCTGTCTTCCCGACAGACCTGTTCTTCACCTGAGGACGGCTGCTTGCGTTGTGGCCGAAACGTCGTGAGAATTACTTTATTATGTTTATTTTTATTTTATTATTTCCATTCTACGTGACTTTACCGAAAGAACCAAGGAGATGAATCCCTGCAGTCACGAAAGCTTTAAATCGAAATTTTACTCATGGAGAGTTGAGCAGATACAGTGTTGTGTGACGTGAAATTCCCAGGCAGGTACTTTACTTTTGGGGAACATACAAAAGGCCCCATTTCATGATGGTATTATCCAGGCACAGAACAATATTCTCTAATGCCATCTCATTGAGTAGCCATTGCCATATCATCACCAGATGTAACATGGCTGACCAGCAGGAAACACTCCCTTAACTATAACCAGGCATTTATTAGCATATCATTGTAACCGTAACAAATGCAATTTATTTAAATGGCCATTGTGAGATTCTCAAACTACGCAATTATTGAAGATGCTATGTTATGTAATACATAGGGCCAGAGTGAATTTCTGTCACAAGCCAAGTTGAACAGCAAATGGTTCCGACTCCTGATCACACAGCTTCAGATGGTCCTACCGAAAATAATAAAAATCCTCAACGAATGTGAGCAGAGGCAGAGACATCGAAAACAAACAAACAAAAGCCCCAAGTCTCTTATGATATTATAGGCATCAAGAGCTGAATGGCTCACAGGGCTATACCTAATAAATGCACTTGAACTTGAATTATATCAAAATGCAGAAATCTAGTTTCCGCTAAAAATCCGTACTCCTCTGCTGTAGTCGATCGACAGAAAATAAATTAGCCCCTTGAATATCGGAGGTTACGTTCTTGGAAATTGCTGAGCGAAAGCTAAAAGTGCGATATTCAATACTTAAGCCATTCCCAAGTATTGGCGTTAGGTAAAACAATTCTTGCTGTGGTTTTCACACCTGATGATGATTGCTTGTGTTGCAATTGAAACGTCGTGAGAATTTAGATAGTTCATTATTATTTTATTATTTCCCTTCTACGTGACTTTACCAAAAGAACCAAGAATATGAATATAAAATTAACATCACAATTGAAACAAGTACTGTAGTGCATTCCAAAAAATGTTAAGACGAAAAATAGTATAAAGCTATTTAAATAAAGCACACTTTGCGCATGTGTTAATTTTTTGTGAACCAAATTGTGCCAACACCATGAAACCTCAACAACATAAACATTAAATGAGTAGTCACGGGTGAGTTAGTGTGTTTGTCGCACTATTTTCAGCTTACCTGCTCACCTTCAAAACCTCAGACACCTGCACACTCCAACCCCCCCACCCCTCTATTTCTCTCGCCATGTATTAAAGCCCGGGGCACTCACTACCTCCGGTTAGCCACACACGCAAACACATTATGACATTTCATATGCTACAATTCCAAGCGCTCATCATACCATAAGTGTCTGCGCTGCAATATTTGTTGTCATATTTACCATGTTATCCTTCCCTATTATCAGACCTGCGTTTTTGCTGCCAAATTAATCCACATAGAGCTCCTTACTGTCCTCTCTGCACATGCACGGCTCACCTCTAACACGCACTGCAATATTTATTTTAAAAAGACATGTACTATTCTAAAATATCTACATCTATGTACCAGGACTACCGACCTCCTCCTACACAATATAGACGCTATACAACAGCTACGACTAAATAAATCAAGTCTAGATCGCCTGGCAAGGAATAAAAAACACACGCACACACATTAAACTTATTTTGTGTATACGCACCACCACACACATACTATTCATACCCACTTCAAGCACTGCAAACAATTACTCCCTCCAACAACTTACATCCTTATACTTTATTCCGTTGCAGCTATGTCTTTACATTCCGACAACGATTTCACATTCAACTATAATTTAATTAACAATCTCACCACAGCATTCACTCACACACTCACTATTTATGTTTTTTTCTGCTTACTAACTTTTACCTCCACCTATAATGTTCCTTGCGAAAAACGTGCGCTTCTCTTCACCAAAGCCGATTACAATAATTGATGCTATTCGTGCAAGTGCTGCGATGGCTGCACCTATTGAGGACACTCCTGAACACCAAGCCATAAGGTATGCTGCCAGTGCTGCTATGCCTGCACCTACAGCGAATGAATCTCATCAACAGCAATAAGCTACACAGAAAAGTAACACAGGACAAATGGCTCTTGCCACAGCGAATCAACTCCAGTCCGCCAACAAGCACGGCAGCTTGCAAACAGTACTACAATGGCTGCAACTAGGTGCCTACCCTGCAGCCAAAAGGATAAGTATTTTTTCCATACATTTCTCACTTCATTTACACTTCTGATCCATTAGTTGCCATTGGTTCCATGTCTACTTCTTGCAGCTACTGCCATGCAATGACATGGAAAGGAGACCCTCCAGGGCTATGCTACAACAGTACCATGGTTCAGCTGCCTACATACCGAGCCTATTCATGTATTGATACCTGACAAGCCATTTCCGAAATAACAATATAAGATAGAACTCATGGTTCCAAATGATCATGTTTTGGCACCGACCAACTCATCGTAACATCTGGCTACATGCCCACATTTAAAGTTCAGGGCCAGGTACATAATCACATTGGCAGTCTGCTGCCACTACCTAATAACCTACCTACATTACCACAGATCTACTTGCATGTCTGATAATACCAGATAGGCCCACCAGCATTGCAAAAATGTCATCAACACCAAGATGCCAGTCCTATTGCTGTTGCAAGATATGCTCCATAAGGAAAACTATTACATTCAGTTTCAAGTGTGCCATGGAGAAGATGACTTCAGAGTTCAATGTTGTCATTCATGCAGACTAATTTCCACTTGGTCAACATGAGTGCCGCTTAAATGCACTCACATCTGAAGTCGCTGTCATTCTGACTGCTGAACATGGCACTCGAGGCATCGTCTTGCAACTGAGGAACAATACCCTAAACAGAAATGAAACACACCGACTCTATGATCCTCTTCAATGTCTACTGATTTTCTGGCAAGGTGATGATGGCTACAATTTACGACTTCGCCAAACTGACCTAGCAACAGGCTTGCCAACACAAGATAAAATTTCCGCCATGGACTGCTTTGCCTTCAGGATCAGGGTGCAAAACGGCAACTTCAATCTGTTCTTGAGATGCAAAGAGCTGTTCCACCAATTTTCTGTCGACATGTATGCCAAAATGGAAGCTTCATTTAATTAAACCTACCAGATGGAAAAACATACAACATTGTCTATCCTGAAGCTCTCCAAGGGCAACTAATGTATAAGTTGTCCTCATGAAACAAACAAGCCCTGCTATTGTATAACACAACCAAAAAACCGTGACAATATACACACATTTACAGACTTCATTGGCAAAATTCAATAATTGTAATAAAGCCAGCATGGCAAGACATTACTCTAAATGTTTGATTACTGAGACCTGAGCTAAGCCGGTTAACTTAGTTATTATTGGAAAAATACTATACTTCCGATTAAGTTTGTGCATGAGTGGGGAGCGGTAGTGCAACGATTAGCGTGCTACGCTATGAACCCAGTGAGCCGATTTATATTCCTACAGAGCCAAGCCACAACATTGGGCTGTCACCTGATGAAGTCTGTTGAAAGTACAGCAGAATCTCGGAGATTGAACGCACCAGAACTCGAACAAATCGGTGTTAGAACGATTTTTCCGACCATTTTTTCCCTGGAAACCGAACGAAACTCGGAGGTTGAACGGGCAATCGCGACTTGAAAAAACCTGTTTGGCTGAGACGTGTATGGCCAGCATGCATGACGCTTACCCAGACAAATGTTTTACCGTGTGAGAGGCTTAGTTAACGCGTAGCTCTCACCCAGTGCAGACCCGCAAAACATCGTTCCTTAACTTTTTAGTTAATTTCCTTTATTTTAGTGTTTTTTTGGTGTTTATCCATACACAATGTCTCCTAAGAAGGTTAGTGGTAGTGAAGTTCAATGTTCATTTATTCCATATATTTATTCATTTATTCCATTTATTGTTTCTTGTTTTTTGTATGATTTTATTCATGTAATTACTGTAAACTTCGTGTAAAAATGGGTTATGATAGCTTTCTTGCGTCTGGAACCAATTAAAGTCATTAACATTAATTCTTATGGGGAAAATTAATTCGGTGTTCGAACAAATCGGTCTTCGAATGGCCTTCTGGAACGAATTAAGTTCGATCCCCGGGGATACACTGTACTGTCAAAACGTCGTACTCAGATTGTAAATGTTGTGGCTTGGCTCTCCAACACACCGATATGCTGTACTAGTACACTACACTATACACTACACTACTATACACTACACGACACACTAGTGCTGTACTAGTGACGCATTGGCCACGTTCTGTTTACGTGACAAACCCTTACTAATTGGCTGTCGGGTGGTGGCGGGGTTAACGGCACATTTATTTATTTACGCGATCTCACACAAACAAACCTGTATTATGCCTGTATATTTGGAGTTTGCGTGTCCCTCTCTCTCCGTGGTCGCGTGGATTCTCCTCCGGATCCTGCGGTTTTCCCTGCACATTTAGAGTCAACATCACCACGCGTTTAGAGTATTTGGCCGATAAACATTTCCACACGTTGATAAGCTCACTGCGTTGTGGGCAGGTCGCTTCTGAAAACGAGCGGTGTAGCTCAAGTGGGCTATGCCTGGTAAAATAAAATAGTAGAAATATTAAAAGAAAAACAAAGTTTCAAAGTAGTGAGCCAGGTGAAGACAAATTCAACTTAAGCAGAGGATTAAAGCAAATGCAATCAGACGAGGGCAGGAGGCAAGGCCCCGCGTTGTAATGTTCCAACCTGGACATCGATTTCATACTCGCTGCTACTCAATTGATATCCCTACGAGGGAGAAGGAGCGAGGCTCTACCTGGGTTCACAACAACAACAACCACAACAACGACGATGTCAACTTCTCACCTCGGATCTCAGTGAGCGAGCGTGAGCGGAGCGGCAGCTTCCTGGTATGTCGTGACGTCATGCGGCAGCAGGTGACATGACGTCACTTGCGGGGTTCACACAATCCCCCTCCCCAAACGAGCAGCAGGGTAACTTCAAGTTCAAGTTCATTTATTAGGTACAGCCCTGTGAGCCATTCAGCTCTTGAATCGGGTGCAACCGCAACAAACAAAAAACAAAAACATGAACAAAAAACATCTTAAAGTGAATATGTGACTAAGTGCAAACAGAAAATTCAAGAAAAGACAGCAAAAATATTGCAGAAAAAACACCGTACACCAACGCTGTGTGCAAAAATCTCAGTGGCATGCAAGTCAAACAACAACAACAACCACAAGACAACTTAGATTAAGGCCGTCAGTCTCTGTACTACAATGAACAAACATGGCCAAACCAAAAACTTTTCGAAAATCACCAAAAATAAAGCGATAAAAGCAATGAAACAGTGATCATAGGAACTGTGACCGAATTTTCACAATAAACGACGTCAACAACATGTACTACCAACGTTGAGGGGCTTTGTTGCGGTGAAGGATCCTGCCGCTCTGCTTCCTTCACACGGCCTCCCTCCTCCCACGATCTTTTCCCCCACCTGCGCTGTCATTTGTTCGGGGACATCCCTCCTGAAGTGCCTGCCCTCTTTGCAAAGCTTTCATCCGATGCAGTTCTTTGCCGTAGAATAGCCTGCGAAAAAAACTACCACCCTCCTCGTTCGATTTCGATTTAAAGCTTTCGTGACTGCAGGGATTCATCTTCTTGGTTCTTTCGGTAAAGTCACGTCCTCAGGTGGAGAACAGGTCTGTTCTCCACCTGAGGACGGCTACTTGCGTTGTGGCCGAAACGTCGTGAGAATAATTTTATTATGTTTTATTATTTTATTATTTCCATTCTACGTGACTTTACCGAAAGAACCAAGAAGATGACTCCTCGTTCCAGTTAAATCCTTGTGGGCTTCGCTCATTAACATAATTCATTCACTTTCTCGATCACCGAGAAGCAGCCAAACCCATCACTCCATATGGGTGCGTATTAATTAACATAATGTATGCAGTACCCCGCTAGTGACGTCACATCATCTCCCCCTCCCCGCGAGCTTCTGCGTGACGTCACGAGATACCCGGAAGTTTCCGTTCCACTCGCCGCTCACAGAGGTTCAAGGTGAGAAGCTCACGTGGTGGTGGTGGTGGTTGTTGTGGTGGTGGTTGTTGTGGTGGTGGTTGTTGTGGTGGTGGTGGTTGTTGTGGTGGTGGTGGTTGTTGTGGTGGTGGTGGTTGTTGTGGTGGTTGTGTGTGGTGGTTGTTGTGGTGGTGGTTGTTGTGGTGGTGGTTGTTGTGGTGGTGGTTGTTGTGGTGGTGGTGGTTGTTGTGGTGGTGGTGGTTGTTGTGGTGGTGGTGGTTGTTGTGGTGGTGGTTGTTGTGGTGGTGGTTGTTGTGGTGGTGGTGGTTGTGGTGGTGGTTGTTGTGGTGGTGGTGGTTGTTGTGGTGGTGTGTGGTGGTGGTGGTTGTTGTGGTGGTGGTGGTTGTTGTGGTGGTGGTGGTGGTTGTTGTGGTGGTGGTGGTTGTTGTGGTGGTGGTGGTTGTTGTGGTGGTGATGATGGTTGTGGTGGTGGTGATGGTGGTTGTTGTGGTGGTGGTGATGGTGGTTTTGTGGTGGTGATGGTTGTGGTGGTGGTGATGGTGGTGGTGGTTGTGGTGGTGGTGGTTGTTGTGGTGGTTGTGGTGGTGGTTGTGGTGGTGGTGATGGTGGTTGTGGTGGTGGTTGTGGTGGTGGTGGTGGTTTTGTGGTGGTGATGGTGGTGGTTGTGGTGGTGGTGATGATGTTTGTGGTGGTGGTTGTGGTGGTGATGGTGGTTGTGGTGATGATGGTTGTGGTGGTGGTTGTGGTGGTGATGGTGGTTGTTGTGGTGGTGGTTGTTGTGGTGATGATGGTTGTGGTGGTGGTTGTTGTGGTGGTTGTTGTGGTGGTGGTTGTGATGGTTGTGGTGGTGGTTGTGGTGGTGGTTGTGATGGTTGTGGTGGTGGTGGTTGTGGTGGTGATGGTGGTGGTTATGGTTGTGGTGGTGATGGTGGTTGTTGTGGTGGTGGTTGTGGTGGTGGTTGTGGTGGTGATGGTGGTGGTTGTGGTGGTGGTGGTGGTTATGGTTGTGGTGGTGATGGTGGTTGTTGTGGTGGTGGTTGTGGTGGTTATGGTGGTTGTGGTGGTGGTGATGGTGGTGGTTGTTGTGGTGGTAGTTGTGGTGGTGGTGGTAGTTGTGGTGTGTATGTGAGTTGTGTGTGCTCAGAATCTGCTGTGAGCTTTACGGAGTCTCTCTTACCTGCTGGGTTGACATGTACTGTGTGTTTTTATGAGTGTGCGTTAATATCGCGTTGTGGATTGTTTAATGTCTTTCGTTTTTTTTGGACGGTATCTGTATTGTTGGCGTCTGTGTATGATTTATTATTCGTGCCCTCGTGCATGTCTGTGTTTATAAATAGCGTGGTGTAGTGGGGAGCGTTAGTGTAGCGTGGGGTGTAGCGTGGCGTGTACTGTGGCGTGGGGTGTACAGTTTTGGGGGTGTACAGTATCTGTGGTGTACAGTATCGTGGGGTGTACTGTAGCATGACGTACTGGTGCGGTGTGTAAACATCGCCACTGGGGAGACAAAGGCGGTCGGGCGTGGTGCTGGCTACCCACCCCCTCGTGTGCTGCTCCGGCTTTCATAGGTGCTCGCTAACAGCACTTGCCCGAACAGTATGTTCCATGCTATACGGGGGATCTTTGTCTTTGTACTGCAGAGTGTGGTTTACGGTAGTCTGTGCTGCATTGTGGCTTGTCTAGGATAGTGTGTTGTGCATTACAATGTGAACAGTGCGGCACAGGTTGTGTGCGTCTTGTGAGTTGAGGGTTTGTAGATAGGTCCGAGCGTGCAAGGGGCTGGTAACCCCTCCACCAGCATAAGCTTGTGGTCGAGACCAGGGGGACAGGCGTCCATGACGCCTTATGGCCAAACTCCATCTGGGAGAGCCATACTGAACCCCCCCTCTCTCTCAGGGTTCATCCAGGAACAGGAGAACACTGAGATTGGCCACATGGAATGTTCGGACTCTCGTTGTGGAGGAGAGGCTGCCACTCCTCGGTCGGGAGATAGACCGATACCGCCTGGACCTCTGTGGGATACAGGAGGGTCCAGTAGAGCAGTTCTGGCTCCAGTTATCATGAGGGGTGGACAATTCTCCACTCGGGGCAGGAAACTGCCAAACATCAGGGAATGGCACGGATGAAGGGGGTGTTGGAGCATGGCGGTGAGGTGTGAGGAGCTGTAAGTCCCAGGCTGCTGTGGGCTCGCCGTCCCATCAACAAGAGGTGGGGAGTAGTGTTGGTGATTGCTTACGCCCCCACCAAAGATGAACATCATTGGAGGCGTGCAGACAAGGCTGATGAGTCGGACGCCTTCTATAACGTCCTGTCACATGTGATAGCTGAAGTGGTCCCTAGGGATAGTCATCCTCTTGGGTGACTAATGCCTGGGTTGGAGTGATTGGAAGGCATGAGCCAGATCAGCTCAATAACGGAAGGAGGCTGCTACTCTTCTGTGTAGCCCATGGGATCACAGGACGGGTTCCGCCACCATGGTGCCCACTCGGGTACTTTACCACACTGTGTCTCAATACTCTAGTTCCAGGAGCATTCTGCTGAGTTGGTTTTGCAGTTGGCGGGAGGGGCGATGCTTCACGTATTTCCGATTTAGTAATTTGCAGGCCGTTTTTCAGCATTGGAATATGTGGATGGTACCAGGACAGAAATTGATTTCAGAGTCACCATTAGTTTTTTTTCCTGATGAAGTCCATCAGCTTATTTTCAAGGGAGACTCAGTCTGCAGAAATCAAAGCATTCCACAATTACACTCACACTGGTCCACTCACCAACTCAACCACTCACCCACCCACGACCCCACTCACTCGTGCAGTCAACCATTCACCCACACTTGCACTCACTGGCCCACTCATCCACTCACTCATTCACTCACCAATCCTCTCATTTACCCACCCACTCTACCGCTCGCCCACTCATCCATCCACTCTGCCACTTGCCCACTCAAGCACATACTCACCTACCCACACACTCAGCCACACTGACTGGCCTACTCACCCACCCACTCACCCACCCACTCACCCACTCACCCACTCACCCACTCACTCACCCACTTACTCACCCACTCACCCACTCACCCACTCACCCACCCACTCACCCACCCACCCACTCACCCACCCACCCACCCACCCACTCACCCACTCACCCACCCACCCACCCACTCACTCACTCACTCACCCACCCACCCACCCACTCACCCACTCACCCACCCACTCACTCACCCACTCACCCACCCACTCACTCACCCACCCACTCACTCACCCACTCACCCACCCACTCACCTATCCACCCACCCACTCACCCACCCACTCACTCACCCACCCACTCACTCACTCACCCACCCACTCACCCACCCACTCACCAACCCACTCACCAACCCACTCACCCACCAACCCACTCACCCACCAACCCACTCACCCACCAACCCACTCACCCACCAACCCACTCACCCACTCACCCACCCACTCACCCACCCACTCACCCACCCACTCACCCACCCACTCACCCACCCACTCACCCACCCACTCACCCACCCACTCACCATCACAACCAGAAGTGAATTTCCCGAGTGAAGCGCACTGAGCATAGAAGCTCTTTTTAAAGAGCGGCTTGGCCAGCAGACATCAAAGCATTCCACAATTCTAAATTCACAAACAAACTTAATAGTAATACCAATTATGTTGCAAAGTTACATTCACGCTCAAACTTGATTGATTTTAATAATAGTCAGTTTAAATAAGGTAAGAGATGGCAGAATGGAGATGCCAATAGACGAAACTTAGATGTTTCAAAACTTTTGTGACAGCGATATTAAATGCGTTTGATAACAAATTGTGTGCAACTGTTAACAGACAATCAGACCCACACAGACGCACACAGACAATCAGACGCACGTTGCAGATTTTTAGGATTGTCCAATGGTTTAATAACCGGTGAGATACGTAAACAGCAGATCTATGGACAAATACCCTTGTAAATAAAAATTGATTTTACCCTGTCCGGAAATAAAACCGGTTTTAAGATTTTCAAACACCATATAGATACATTTGAAGTTTTAGTGACTGCAGGGATCCATGCAACAGCCCCTTTTGCCCACTTCTGCAATTGTTTCTTGCTGTGGTTGTCCCACCTGATGACGGACGCTTGTGTTGCGCCCGAAACGTCGTGATTTATTTTATTTTATACCTACGTGACTTTACCGAAAGAACAAATTAGTACCAAATAGATACCATTTGCAAGAAATTTGTTCTGCTTTAACCACACGTGCTTCAGGTGAACATGCTGTTTCATAATTTGATACTGGGAAACAAAGGTCCCATGATAAAATAGCATGTGTGGTTGATGCAGACTTGATGTTTGTGCTCAAATATCCCACAAGAATGTGTGGTTAATGCCGACTTGATAATACCTTGCAATAGGTTCCTGTTTGCAAATTTGACTTTATTCATTTCAACGTATTGTTTGTGAATCGATTACCTTTAATCTAGTTTACACTCCCTGTCTTATTTATATGTACATTGAACTTATTTCACACCATACATGGCCAATCGTGTATTTTTTTGTTTGGAACTATTTGATCTGCCTAGATTGGACATCTTTGAAAAAGATCTTAAAAGCGCATCTGATTCCTCCAGAAGACATTCTGATTCTAAAGATTCTGATCTTAACGCCTCACGTGTTATTGCTGACAAGGGTAAAGCCTTTTATTCAACATATTTATTTAATCAAACATGTGGACCATGATTCCGGTACATAATGGCCTACTTATGAAAAATCATGTGAAAGAGAGAGGAACTCCAATGTCAATTGTGAAGCAGATGGTACATGATGGTCTGATTAATAAGCCTGCAATATTAAAAACGTAACATTTGTAAAATGCTGCATTTCATCCGTAGATCCCATCAATCCGTGCCGTGTATGGAAAGTATTCAATACACAGAACCTGCAGGATAAACAGCCAGAAATCAAGGGGGGGGGGGTAAAATACGATGTCCCCACTGACTCAATCACCCACTCACTCAATCAACCACTTAACCCATTTGCTCACGCACTCACCCACCCATTTACTCACTCACCAACTCCCTCAGGGAATGCTGCGGTTGGTGACATTTATACGGCACTGGGCTCAGGCTGCTGAACAGCGTGTGAACAAAACCTGCCCTGGCATTGAGATAGGAGTAAGCTTCCACAGTCTGTGTTAATTTACTACTATAATGAGCCAAGAATGTATGTGTGTCCCGCGTGTGACGTCACTGCACGTCGACTGGCACCCCTCATTAATAATCATGAACAGATGACGTCCTCCAAATGAACACCCCCAGCCATTAATAATAATTAGCGGGTGACGTCACTCCACATGGGGGGGCGAGGCCCCTCCTCCCCCCTCCTCAGTGTCAACTTATAACCCTCACTACAAAAGCAGAACCCTCACGTCATGCGATCTCCGTAACGCTATTGAGACATAGAAGTAAAAAGGACGTCATGATGAACAAGGGATTATAACCTTTAAATTAAATAAGTGTGTCACCACGGCCTTACCAATTGCACGCGAATGGATGCAATGAACATCGCGTCGCCGTCTGCTTTTTGCTTGCAAGTTTCAGATTTACTGCAATACACCCGTCCTTGGACGGGCTAAAGGCTCGTACAACAACGGGTGTTGTTGTGTGTTTTAGTGTAACCTTCAGCCTGCAGCACTATGAACCTGGTGACACGAGTTTGATTCCCACACACGGCCACCAACACCAGTGACTTATTTTAACTGGCTCTGTACTTCCCCTAGGTCGACTCAGCCTCCCGAGAGTACCTGGTGCAGTGTGTAAACATTGCCACTGGGGAAACAACGGCAGTCGGGTATGGTGCACACATACACCCCACTTTTGAACTTATTGTTAAGGCTATATTGGGGATCTTTGTCTTTCTTGCGTGTAACTATATGAATGTGTGTGCCTCAGTATATGCTTATGAGTGTATGTGTGTTAATGTGTGTTTATATCTTGACTTAAAGCTTTCGTGACTGCAGGAATTCATATTTATTGAGTCTTTCGGTAAAGCCACGTAGATAAAAAAAAATATCACGACGTTTTGATCGCAACACAAGCAGCGGTGTCCCTCGTTTTTTAATGAGCTGGATGTCTCACAAGCACAGCCACCGTTGCGGTGGTTAGCTGACATTGACATGCTAATCTCTCGCAATGGCCACCTCCACAGCTGCTTCGTCGTGGAGGTATATCAGCTATCCGATCTTACATTTACATGCAAATTCTATCTCTAGCCCCACCCACTTACCCTTGGGCTAAACCCATCTCAAACCTATATAACATCCTGCTTCAGCAGCTCTCCCGCTATATATATATATTTTTTCACCTGATGACGATTGCTTGTGTTGCGATCGAAACGTCATGATATTTTTAATATTTTTCTATCTACGTGGCTTTATCGAAAGACCCAAAGAATATGTGTGTTTTATGTAACTGCGTGTATAACCTAACATTTAACCTTTTTTTGTATTTTAGCCTCTTCTTATTAGTGATTTTGTAGAGCATGGTGTGTGAGCATCTTGGCGTGCTGGGTAGCTAACACAGGTGTTTGTGTATTAGAATTTGTGTGTTAGTGTATATGTATTTGTTATTTTTGCTATGTCTTAAATATTCTAGGAAGTAACCACCCCTTGTGAGTGGTTGGTTGGCGCACCATCTGTTGACTAAGTGGGGGGGGGGGGCAATCCAGAGTCTAAGAGCAGTCTTAGGGCTGGGCATAATTGACCTCCAAAGGAAGCTGCTGAGGGAGGGTGGTGATGTTACACAGTTTGCAATACAGAACACTATTACAATCTCACAGACCAAAGGATCATCTCTGGAGTATTGGAGAGAGATCTAACCTTCGACCACACTTATTGCCAGATAATGATTATTCAACATTGGCTTGCCAAACCTGCTGAGAAGAAACTTGCACAGCCGCATTGTGGTTATCGATTCCAGCGCAGATGTATGGATTTTTAGCAGAAACTAGATCTCTGCTTTCTTCATGATTTCGATGTTACTGCTGCTCTGATCACATTCGTTGAGGATTTTTATGACTTGGCTAAACCTGCTTGACCAGAAGTTGGAGCCATTTCCTGTTCAACTTTGCATGTTAAGGAATTCCATCTGGCCCTATACATTATGTTACATAGCTTCTTCGATAATTATTTATTTTGAGAAGCTCACAATGGCATTAAAACACACTCAGAACAGTTACAATGTGAGGCTAGTCGATGCCTGGTTATAATTAAGGGACAATTCCCTCTTGGTCCACCATGTTATATATGCTGATGATCTGGTAATGGCTACTCAATGAGAGTTAGGGACTCTTGTTCTGTACCTGGAGAATTCCATCACGAGGTGAGGTCTTGCATATGTTCCACAAAAATAAAGCTACTGCCTTTGATAGTCTTGTCATCCAACACTCCACCTGCTCAACTATGCACGAGTAATCAGGCAGGTCTACAAGTGTCTCATACTTAGTTAATGTGTTCACGACCAGCTCTGGTTTGGCAGCTTAAGTCTTACTTCAAATTAGTCAAGCAGCAATCTTTCATTAGACTGTGTAACACTGTGTGGAAGCTGCCTGGACTTTTGCTCCAGACAAAGCCACGGATATTACTTCTTTTTTTGTGAATTTTAATTATGAACACCTTTAAAGGACTATTTGTGCTGGCGTATACAATTAAGGCTGGACTGCCTATGATCCCTCCTCTATTGAAATGGACTACATTGTATTCGAAGTTTAATGTTTTGAACTTGACAAATTTTGGTGAAGTGAGGAAGCATTAAAACTGAGCAGATGGAGGTGGCCAGGCATGGTCCTGGACACACCACCACCTTTTTACCATGCCAGTGTGTGACAGTGTCAAGTTTGTATTTGCAGTAAAGTATATTAAATCTATTGAACATGGAGGTTAAATAAAAAAAATAGTTTATTTTAGTTTTCTTCTGGAACTTTTTATAAGAATGGTAACAATCAGGAAATTAACACAGCACTATGCAGCTGAAGTTAGATCTGTTCATCCCAGCATTCAAGGAAATCTGAGCCTGGCTTCACACCTTTAAGTTGTGATTGAGCATTAATTTATGCATTTCTGCATAATACAAATAGTTTTATTTCCAACAGCCTTTGCTATGTTAGCTGAATTTTGCTTTTATAAATATTCCTTTTGTAGCCAGACAGCCGAAATTGTGTGTTCTTGAAGTTTTGGGTTAACATTCATTTAGAAGATACTAGGGCTTCCAGGCATATTTAAGACCATTTGCCCTCTCATTGTATGCTTTAACAGCCTGTGTGATTAATTGGGGAATATCCTGAATATATGAATTAGTATAGACGTTTAAGTCATGTGTAACTGTGTATATATGCATTCCTTTGTGCCTCGATACTGACGTAGATGGTCTGGATATTCTTTTTTTCTGTCTGCAGCTGACGCTTCCTCTGACGCTTCCTCTGCAGAATTGGTCTGATGGAGCAAAGGCACTCAGCGCAGCTCGGTGCAAAAAGGCAACAATGCGACCAGTGTGCATACAGCACGGATCGTGCTATAAACTTGATAGAGCACCAGAGAACACACACAGGAGAGAAACCCTTCAAGTGCAGTGTGTGTGAGATGGCATTTGCATGGTCATCAAATCTTAAAAAACACCAGAGAACACACACGGGAGAGAAACCCTTCAAGTGCACTGTGTGTGAGAAGGCATTTGCACGGTCATCAGTTCTTCAGAGCCACCAGAGAACACACACAGGAGAGAAACCCTTCAAGTGCACTGTGTGTGATAAGGCGTTTTCACAGTCAACAATTCTTCAAAGCCACCAGAGAACACATACGGGAGAGAAACCCTTCAGATGCAGTGTGTGTGGGAAGGCATTTTCAGTTTCTTCTACTCTTAAAAATCACCAGAGAACACACACAGGAGATAAACCCTTTAAGTGTACTCTGTGCGGGAAGGCGTTTGCACAGTCACCACATCTTCAAAGACACCAGATAACACACAAGCATCAGAAGACCCCGAATGAGTGGAGTCTGAAATCGGTTTGTGTAAGTAAAATTGCTGCAATGAGCCCATCCCTCATAAAACAAGAACCAGAAGAAACCCCAGCTTGGACACTGAAAGGTATCAAGGTGAAATATGAAGAGGTGAAGGTGAAATGTGAAGAAGTGACAGTGAAGAGCGAAGAAGTGAAGGTAAAATGTGAAGATGAAGATTCAAATCCAACATTGGACCTTCACATGGATGAAGGCGACGTGAAGCAGGAGGAGAATTCTGACTGTGAGGCAGAGCGAAGAAACTCCCAGCAGTTTGTGGAAGTGGAGGTGTGGGTGGACTTCCTAGACAATACAAAGTCAAATGGAGACCCGGTAGATGTGCAAACTTGAGACAATAAAGCTCCAATAGATTCATCTTTGTCACATGTCTTTAATGAAAATAATGTGAAGTTTAACACTCAATTCCTAGGTTCAAACTGGAAAGTGAGATGCAGCCATTATTTGTGGACCTGTGGGTTGGGTAGATATCTAACCAGGAGCGAGAGTCAATAAGCTCCCAAGCATTCACTATGTTATGATAATAATTGCATTTATATGGTGCTTGCTTAATTGCCTCATCAACTCAGAGTTTCGTATCATATCTCATCACAAACACTCGAAGAGTACACCCAAGTGGCAGCTGCCTCTGTGTGGCAACAGGTGGCCCTGCACGAGCCTGCATGTGGGCATGAGTCTGTCAATAGGGGGCGATGATTGATGTGTAACCTCAGTTGTGTAATTTGTGGGTAATGTTTCGAACTTGACAAATTTTGACCACGACGCCAGCATGCAATGGCCTCGTTTTAAATGACACGAATGTATGTTTTACATCCAATATTGAGCAGATGGTGCATTTGTATTTAATGTTCCTGGACTAACCAAGGGTGCCTGTCGGATTTGAACCTTTAACCTCTGCTACAAATGCACGACCACTTGTCTTCCCTCAATCTGAGTGCTGCAGGTGTAGACCTCATCCAGACAGAAATTAACTTCTAAATATAATATAACATGATGAAGTACATTTCGGTACAGTAATGACATTTTATCACTATGCCTATCGATCATTTGAATTATCATTTTACGTACACTTGTCTGATTGTGTGTCAGCCTGAAGGGTAATTGCGGGTATGGGCAAGGTTCGGTAACTAATAAAGGGGGCGTATCTGGGTTAAAGTTAAAAGGTGGGGTTAGTCGGGAAGCTCCGGGAACATGGATCATTCATCAGTTACAAGGCATACCACTTAAAATGTATGTATAGGAGATACATTCTCCACAACACGATTTCTAATTTTGTATTACGTGTTTACAGTGAGGGAAAAAAGTATTTGATCCGCTGCTGATTTTGTACGTTTGCCCACTGACAAAAAAATGATCAGTCTATAATTTTAATGGTAGGGTTATTTGAACAGTGAGAGACAGAATAACAACAATATCCAGAAAAACGCATGTCAAAAATGTTATAAATTTATTTGCATTTTAATGAGGGAAATAAGTATTTGACCCCCTCTCAATCAGAAAAATGTATGTTGAGACACCACCAATAACACCACCAATAACATCCCACAGGTGGCGTGCACTGAATCAATGATGCACTCCCAGAAGACTCCTATTTATAGTTTGCCTTAAACATTCCTTTGTTTCGTGCAGATACCGATAAATTAAAGATACGTCGTGTCTGCTGATTTGTTTCATAGCAAGGAGGTAATTTTATGAGCACATTTGATATAGGAATTTGTTACAGATTTGTATTCAGTTATAAGGCAGAGCACATCGAGGAGATACGTTCCCAAGATATTTAAGTTTTTACATTTTACATCTATGTTTATTGTGTAGATAGAGTTTTACTCATAAATTGTAAACCTAGGTATTTTCATGTGTTTATGGTTGCTTTACATGATAACATGTCACCTGTCCTGTTCATGTAACACTTAAAAAAATCAGTAAAAGGGTTATATAAATAAAACAAATTTACGAAACAAAAGGCAACAAAACTATGATGTATATATAAGTATACTAGATTGACTACCCGGCTTCGCCCGGGTCTTGGATCCACGACGCCCGGCCGCCTTTGTCTCCCCAGTGACGATGTTCACACACGACAGCAGTTACGCGTTTGAGGCTGAGTCTACCTAGGGGAGGCCCAGGTCCGGTTCAAATAATCGTCAGCGGTGCTGGGCGTGAGTGGGAATCGAACTGGGGTCGCTCAACCAGCTTAATGACTATTTGTACAAAGAACATTTAAAGAATCGATTATAATAACCAGGCTACAGTCTACATTATAGACTGCCAGTACACCCACTCAGCTTCATAAGCAGGCTAGAGTGTACATGATAGAGTGGCAGTACGCTCACCGAGCTTAATAAGCAGGCTACAGTCTACATTATAGACTGCCAGTACACTCAGGCAATTTAATAAGCAGGCTACAGTCTACATTAGACTGTCAGTACGCTCACCCAGCTTAATGACTATTTGTACAGTCACCATTTAAAGAATAGAATGTTGGTGCGTTGGGTTTAAAAGTAATATTAATTGCACACAATGTGGTGGGTGGGGAGTGAAGAGTACGTGAAAGTTTGATGAATTTACCTCAGAGTAGCGTGGTGGGTGTGGAGGCCTAGTAGCGTGCAGAGCCTCCGGCCTCGCCTAAATTGCCCACCCGGCAGAGGCAGGGTATGGGTGGCGTTCCCCCCCCCCCCCCGCGCTACAATAATACTGTGTAATCACTATTATTTAATTATCTACGGAGCGTATAATAGTAATTGAAGACATTGGGGTCGGAGGGGAGTGAAGAGGACGTGAAACTGATGAATTTACCTCAGAGTCGCGTGTTAATGCGTGCGCCTATTTTTAACGGGAATTAAAAATGGCGAATGCGTCGCTACCCGTTGCCAGGGGCAACCGCCGGACCAATCGTGTGTCGCAATGCAGGGGCAACCGCCGGACCAATCGTGTGTCGCAAATCCCTGACATTTCGTCCAATGAAAGTGCGTATGGTCCGGCGACACACAGACAGACAGACAGATTCACGATTTTATATATATAGATAGTTTAGCCCTTATTCAGTGTCTACTTGGCGCTTCTTGGCTTGTCTCTTGTATTCATGAAAGGGAGCATCTCTTGTCACTATCGAGCAATAGTCTGCAAACATTGATGGGCTGCATTTGCCCCGATAGCATTTCTCTATTGTTGCAATGTCCTGGTGAAATCGCTCGCCATGCTCTTTTGTATGCTTTGAGATTTTCCACAAACTCCCTGTAGTCTGCCTTGTTTCCGAGAAAATGTGTTGCCACAAACTGGAAGGCATTCCATGCCGTATTTTCGTTGCCACGCAGTGCACTGTCAAATGCATCATTTTGAAATAGTTCACGAATCTGAGGACCAACAAAGACACCTTCCTTTATCTTAGCTTCACTTAACCTTGGAAATTTTCCACGGAGGTACTTGAAAGCTGCTTGTGTTTTGTCCATGGCTTTGACAATGTCCTTCATCAGACCCAGCTTGATGTGTAAGGGTGGTAACAAAATCTTCCTCGATTCAACAAGTTGTGGATGCTGAACACTTTTCCTCCCAGGCTCCAATGACTGTTGGAGTGGCCAATCTATCTTGATGTCGTGGGAATATCTCGTACGACTATCCCATTTGCATATAAAACAGCAGTATTTAGCGCATCCAGTCTGCAGACCAAGCAAAAGAGCAACAACTTTCAAATCGCTACAAAGCTGCCACTGATGATGGTCATAGTTTATGCACCTCAAAAGTTGTTTCATTTTGTCATAGGTTTCGTCCCTATGGACTGCATGACCAACTGTAATTGATGGCAAAACAATGCTATTCAGCAAAACAGCTTTAAGATTTATCTTCAATGAATCAATGAACAGCCTCCACTCATCTGGATCATGAACGATGCTGAGGGCTGCCATCACACCATCGATATTGCAGGCTAAAATATCACCTGTGAATATGAATTGGACAAGAACCTTTTGATGGTCACCGAACATGGAAACCCTAACATCACCTGCCAGGAGATTCCACTGCTGCAGTCTGGAGCCCAACAGCTCTGCCTTACTCTTGGGTAGTTCAAAATCCCTGACAAAGTCTTTCAGTTCACCTTGTGTTATGAGGTGTGGTTCAGAGGAGGAGGATATGAGAATCTGGGTCATGTGACCTTGATGGTTCAGGACCAGAAGTTGCATCCTCTTCCTCGTCTGACTCAAGTGAAAATTATTCAATTGCATCAGGAACCTCCAGTCCTCCGTGGGTTACTGGGTGTATGGCCGATGGAATGCTTGAATAATGCACAGTCCACCGTTTTCTTTGACACACCTTACCCAACTGAAGGCATGATGTAGAAGTAACCATTGCTGATATGATCTGTTGGCTCTCTCTAAATCATTGGCACTGAAAAAGGCATACATTTCCTTTTCCTGTTCAACCACTGGCGACGATTTGTTGCACACGTGTTGCAGCATATGTGGGGCTCACATCTTGTCCTGACCTTCAATTTTGCAGCCAAAAAAAAGTTGATAGGATTTCTTAACCATAGGGGTTATACTGCGGTTTGGTGATGCAAAAGTCACTTCACAAACAGTACAAGTTATCTGCTTTGTTCACACAAGTACGAAGCATCTCTGCTCACTTCGGCCAAACATATAATAAAAGAGTATAACACTACATGATTTCAACAGCTGATATAGGGCAATTTGTTCAGAGGGATGTAAGCCTCGTTATGATTGCATCATCCATGACTTCGAGGAATAACATGATGCAATTCATATGTATGATGCAATACCAGGTTCAGATTGCATTATTCATTGTGTAGCGAGCCCAACCGAGTCGCAGACGTTGTCTTAGGAGCAACACTTGTATTAACTCTTAGCACAACATACGCCAAGCTATTAACACAACACACTCTCGGGTGGTGACCATCCAACTAACCACGCTACGGCAAACCACACCCACGGGTTCGCGATCCTGGTCTGGACAACGAGCTGGTTTCTGGACCACGTGGCTGGAGGCTTCTTCAAGCTTGACGTGGATCTCCTGCCTCTCCAACAGTAAGAATGCCGAGCCCCTCTCAGGGACCCCTTTATCTCGGAAGGCTCTCGAGAGCTCTTCTCATACCACGTGACCGCCTATTGGGCCCCCTCCATTGGTGGCCCCCCTCCAGTATCATCAGGTCACGTGTCCCCAGGTCAGCCAGCGTATCATGACCGAACGTAACCCTGGCTGGCTGACACTCTCTCGCTCCCTCAACTTGAGCCCGCACCGCAAACTGTACAGGGTGTCCCCGCGTTAACCAGCGCTCACCAAAACCCCCACTATGGCTGGTACTATGCCCTGTATCCGGGCTGTACATAATGACAATATAGTATCCGCCGTGGCCTCACAGGCCCGGCACCACACAGTGACATTCCTAGTCACTACAATTGTTTTGCTCAAAAAACAAATTCTGTCCAAACCCAGTCATAGATTTATTCAAAGACCCCGTCAAAGATGTATTTGAGCCATTTCTGGTTTAAATTGAGATCCCTTCCCTTTATAACTCACTTATCCTCTGCCATTCACAAGTCAAGGGTCGTATATACTGACCCAGTAGCATATCTTGATAACTATATCCAATCAATTTTAAGCATAATTTTCATTCATAGTGACCCAGAATAAGTAAAGTTGGACTACATTTATGTCGGAAGCATTTTGGCTATCGACCAGTGTTATGGGTGATGAAGACGATGGGTGATGATGATGGGTGGTTATGATAATGGGGGTTGATACTGATGATGGGTGGTGATGGTGATAATGATGAGTGGTGATTATGAAGGGTGGTCATGCTGGTGATGGATGGTGATAATGATGGTTGGTGATGAGGGGTGTTGATGCTGAGGGTGATTGGTGATGATAATGATGGGTGGTGATGACGATGGGTGGTGGTGACTATTGTGAAGGGTCTGTCTCTTTGTCACACCCATCTACACCCCTCACCCTGGGTGTGTCTCCTTGTCACACTCACCCGTCTACCTACACTCAATCACCTGGGTCTGTCTGACTGTCTAACTCACCTCAACCCATATACACTCACCTGGGTCTCTCTCACTGTTACTCTCACATTTTACCCACGCTCACTCCCCTGGGTATGTCTCACTGTCGCACTCACCTCTCATCCCACACTCACTCACCTCTCTACTCACACTCACCTGGGTCTGTATCTCTGTCACACTCACCTCTCTACTCACACTCACCTGGGTTGTCTCACTGTCACACTCACCTCTCTACCACACTCACTCACCTGGGTCTGTCTCACTGTTACACTCACCTCTCTACCACACTCACTCACCTGGGTCTGTCTCACTGTCACACTCACCTCTCTACTCACACTCACCTGGGTCTGTCTCACTGTCACACTCATCTCTCTACCTACACTCACCTGGGTCTGTATCTCTGTCACACTCATCTCTCTACTCACACTCACCTGGGTGTGTCTCACTGTCACACTCACCTCTCATCCCACACTCACTCACCTGGGTTGTCTCACTGTCACACTCACCTGTCTACCCACACTCACTCACCTGGGTCTGTCTCACTGTCACACTCACCTCTCTACCCACACTCACTCACCTGGGTGTGTCTCACTGTCACACTCACCTCTCCACCACACTCACTCACCTAGATCTGTCTCACTGTCACACTCACCTCTCTACCCACACTCACTCACCTGGGTGTGTCTCACTGTCACACTCACCTCTCCACCACACTCACTCACCTGGGTCTGTCTCACTGTCGCACTCACCTCTCTACCCACACTCACTCACCTGGGTCTGTCTCACTTTCGCACTCACCTTTCTCGCCACACTCACCTGGGTCTGTCTCACTGTCAAACTCACCTCTACCCACACTCACTCCCTCACTCACCTGGGTATGTCTCACTGTCACACTCACCTCTCTACCACACTCACTCACCTGGATCTGTCTCACTGTCACA